CCAGAGGGTTGTAAACTGAGGCCAGCTTGTGCATAGCCTCATGCTTCAGAGTGGTTTTGACTTTATCCTGAAAGCAATGGATATCATTGAAGAGAAAAAGTTCCTACCCTTATTTTTCCTGTGCCTTACCTCTCTCCTATTTTATACACACACATACACACACACACAAATGGCCTTAAATTTTTCATAAACAAAGTAAGGGTATAACTAACTAATTTGCCAGATAACATCATGGAGAGAAGCCAGCTCAAGGGAGGAAAATCCAGCATAACACATTCATACTAAAATAATTTATAGCCAGTAAGAAAAGATACAGACATGCACAGAGTGTCTCTTAAAAGATAAACAAGAAACCAGGAAGAGTGGTTGCCCTGAGGAGGAGAACTAGGTGTCCAGGCACAGGTATTAGGGGAAGGCTTTTACTGTGTATTCCTTATTTATTTTAATTTTTATTTTTTTGACTGTGTTGGGTCTTCATTGTGGAGCACAGGCTTAGGTGCTCTGTGGCATGGGGGATCTTAGTTCCCCAACCTGGGCTTGAACCTTCATCCCCGACACTGGAAGGCAGATCCTTAACCACTGGACCATCAGGGAAGTCCCTAGGTATTCCTTTTTATCTTTTGAATTTTGTACCATTTATATAGTTATTAAAAACTAAGTAAAATTTAATTTTAGGATAGATAGCCCCAATCTGGTTAAAAACAACAACAAATTTAAGTCAATAGCTGTAGGCTCTCCCCTGTCTCATTGCTCCCCCAGATAATGTGTCAGAATGGCAGGCTAGGATGACAGCATACTGATGTAAAAGTGAAAAAATTAAATGAAAGGAGTCTTGGTTAGAAAAGAATTAGTAAGATTTGGTGATGGGCAGAATGAGGGGGGCAAAATGGAAAGAGGATTCAAAGAGAACCTTTATGAGAGCTCTTGGGAGGGCATTTATACTTCTCAGTCTTGGCTTCATCATATATATATAGCAATAATGGTGGCATGTACATTACAGGGGAGCATTGGGAATTAAATATGCTGCATCCTGGTTATTAAAATGTGAGCAAGACTGTACCTGATAAGGAAACTGAGACACAGAAAGGTTAGGTAATCTCAGGGAGATTACAGTCTGGTGTGGAGACAGACAAGTAGGTAGTAGGCAATGTGAGCACCCTGTGAGAAGTGTCTCAGGGGAAGTGAGTGCAGCAAGAGCTGTGCTGCCTTACGTTGGGTTCCCTAGGAACCAATCTGAGAAGGGGTAGCTGAATACAGTAAGTCCCCAACATAGGATGAGTTCCATTCCATAAGTCCAATTTGTTTTGCGTGTGTGCTAAGTTGCTTCAGTCATGTCTGACTCTTTGCGACCCCAAGGACTGTAGCCCACCAGGCTCCTCTGTCCATAAGACTCTCCAGGCAAGAATACAGGAGTGGGTTGCCATTTCCTTCTCCAAATCCAACTGTTATAAGTCCAACAAAGTTAGCCTAGGTACTCAACTAACACAATTGGCTATATAGTACAGTACTGTAACAGGTTTATAAAACTTTTTATGCAAATAATACATAAAAAATGAAGAAAACATTTAAATCTTACACTACAGTACCTTGAAAAGTACAGTAGTACAGTACAACAGCTGGCACACGGGGCTGGCATCGAGGGAACAGGGGAGAAGAGTTACTGACTGAAGGAGGGAAAGGAGGTGGGAGATGGCAGAGCTGAAGGTTCGTCAGCAACAGGAGGGGGGGGCAAGCTGCAATTTCACTCATGCCTGATGCTGATGGCACAGGTTCTGGCTTCTTGCTGGAACCAGATGCACATTTCCATCTTTGAAAGTTCACAGCTTGAAGGTTTGTATGTAGGGGATCTACTGTAACTGTGGAATGTTCTCAAGAGCAGCCTGTAAGGGATGGGCAGGAAGAAGCTGGACAAGGGGTGTGTTTAGGGGTGGACAAACTGGACTTCACACCAAATCTGTAAAGATTTGTACTGGAATACAGTCACGCCCATTCTGTTTACATATCATTTATGGTCAATTTTGGGCTACGAAGACAGAGTCGAGGAATTGTGACTGAGACTGGATGGCTCACAAAGCCCTTTATGGAAAGGCTGCTGTCTCGTTTAACCGAGTCTAGTCTCAGCCTGACCCCAGGGGGAGTTCTGGAGCATGAACAGCACTGCAGAATTGTCCCACCTGAAGCCAAGGGGCCTGGCCTTCTGTACCTTTGCCCAGGGCAGACTTTGGACCTCGTGCTTAGAAGGGCCTCAAACTCAGAGATAAAGAGAGAGGTCCAGGATGGAAATAGAACTTTGGGAGTTGTCAGAATATAGATGGTATTTAAAGCCTAGTATTTAAAGTCTGAATGAGATCATCTAGAGAATGATTATAGATGGTGAAGGGATCTGCTGAGCCTTGAGGCGTTTTGATGTTTACAGGTCAGGGAGAGGAAAGGATCTAGGAAAGCAGAGGAAAGAGAGGCCTATGAAATAGGAGAAAAACTGAGAAAGCAGTTTCCTAGAAACCAAGTAAAGAACACATTTTAAGGAAGGAGTGACGAGCTGCGACAAATACTGTTAGGGAAGTAGTAAGTTTAGGGGCAGGATGTGGGTGCAGTATGATTGCACCCAGAAGTCTAAAGAGAGTCTGTGAGCTCAAGATGAGCAAGATGAGCAGCCCAAATATGCAAATACACACACCTACACTCACATCATGCACATGCACACGGTGATTGTGAGTCTAGGACTTGTATACAGAGAAGAGGTCCAAGAAGGTAGAAGTTAAAGCTTTTTTTAGAAGTTAATTTGTCTGTGTGTGTGTGGCTGTGCTGGGTTTTCCTTGTTGCACACCGGCTTTCCCTAGTTATGGCAAACGGGCTATTAGTGGTGGTGCACAAGCTTCTCATTGTGGTAGCTTCTCCAGAGCACAGCCTCTGGAGCGTGTGGGCTTTAGTAGTTGGGGTTCATGGGCTTAGTTTCCCCATACCAGGAACTAAACACTTGTCCCCCGCATTGCAAGCTGAAGTCTTAACCACTGGACCACCAGGGAAGTCCTAGAACTTAATTTTTGACAAGAGGAGCTTCATGGAATTACATCAGCAACAGCCTGAGAGAATGAGTTCAGGAGAGAAGAAAGTGGAGACAAAAATTTCAAATAATACTTTCTAGGAAGTGTGTTGAAAAGGGGCACAATAAAATGGAGGGCTGGCCAGAGAATCATGTGGAGTCAGGGAGGGGTTTTGTTTTAGGATGAGAGAGTCTGTATCACGCTAGTGAAAATCATCTAGGAGAAAGAAGTCAATGATGCAGGAGGGGAGAACTACTGGAGGGATGTTCTTGAGTTGATGAGAGGACATAGCACTGGCAGCAATGAGAGGCTGATGGATAGCTGGTCCACAGTACAAGAGACAAAGCAGAGCTATGTGCACAGATGCAAGCAGGTTGATGGATAGGGTGGTGGGAACTCAAGGGAGTTCTCTTGATGGCTGCTATTTTCTTAGTGAGACAGGAAGTAAGACCATCAGCTGAGAAAGAGTAGAGGCCTGCAGAAGGAGAGGAAACGGTAAAGCAGTCACCCAGAAGAGGGGCTGAGCGAGAGGCTTGTATCCTCTCCAGCACCTTCTTTACTTTGGCAAGTATGTTCTCAGTGTCTATCACATCCCAGGCACTTTGATAAACACCAAATGCTTCTTGAAAGAAGCGTGGCTGTGAAACATCCCAAGCATGTTTGAGGTTTGGAGCAGAGTGCATCTTGGCAGAGCAGAAGCGGTGGTGATTCAGACTGGGAAGAAGGCAAAAGCCTGCTAACTGGTTTCTCGGAATCCATTTGGTTGAGTCATGGTCCCGAAATATAAGTCTGATCACGTCATACCTTTGCTTTACATCCTTCAGTGAAGGTATACAAGGACTCGTGACAAACTGCTTCTAGGGAAGAAAAGAGAACCCTGGGATACAGAGACTTACTTTTTAGGTACACACATGTATAGTGTTTGGAGAAAAAAAAAGTGCAGGTATTCAGAATTCAAAAAACCCCTTCCTTAAAAAAGTTTCTATGGCTTTTCACTGCCCTCAGGGGGAAAGAAAATCCTTGGTTCCTAATGTTCTGTGTGGTGTGGCCACACCATATTGATCTGTCTTTCCTTGGCTTTCTCCAATGCAGCGACACTGGACTCCAACTCAACTGGGCAAGGCTCTTCTGGGCCTCCCTGCCTTCGTACCGGCTTTTCTTTCTGCCTCACACATTCTTACTCCCAAGATGAGGAAGGAGCCTGCGTCTAGCCTCCCTCTCGGCCCTCCCTGGACTAGAGGTGGACAGTGACACTGCAGGCATCCCATGGTTTTGGAGGGCGCCGCAGGGGAGATGGGTTGGGGGTTACACCATCTTGACCACAAGGTCAGACGGTTCAGGGACACCCTGTGATGATCTCGCCTCCTCTAGAAGGCTGTTGGAGAGTGGGGGGCTGGAGCCAGGCGATGGGATGTGCCAAGTGTGAATCAAAAGAGGGTCTTCTCCCCCTCCAGAGGGGAAGCCCGCACTAGTGGCTGTGACAAAGGGTACAAGGCAGAAACGCCACGCCTGCTCGGTCTGCCAACAGCTCGCGTTTGCCAGGCGTCAGCAGCGTTGGGAAGACGATCCCTGATCCGCCGCACTGGTGGGAAAGCGTGCCATCCCGCGCCTGCGCACTCGGGGCCCTGAGTGCATCCAGCCCCGCGCATCCAGGTCCCGCCCGGGGGAGGGCCCGCACCCCCGCCCCGCCCCCTGCCTCTGCGTGCGCACAGCCTAGAGCCCGCCTCCGTGAAAGACTGCCCGGCGCATGCGGCCGGGCTGGTGCACTGGCTGCCGGGGCTCAGTGTGAGCGTCGCTCCTTTAGCTCCTTAGCAGACGGCAGGATTTAAAGCCGGCCTCAGGTAGGCTGACTCCGGGGATCCCGCGGGAGCTGTTCTCCAGTGCAGCAATCGGCGGCGGGAGCCGAGCCCGGTGCGGGACTGCCCCACCGCCGGTGACAGACATCGTTCCCACCAATCAGGGGCGAGGTGGCCCGCTGGCTTGCCCAATGGGCTGCGTGCCTAACGGGAGTGGGGCGGGTGGCCAGGCCGGCGAGGAGCCGGCTCCCGCGCGCCGGGCCGCGTGGCCGGGCGCTGCCGGGTAGAGCGGCCGTAGGGGGCGTGGGGCGGCGGGAAAGGCCGCGGGGATCCCTGCTGTGGGGCCCGGCAGCGCCCTCGTCCGTGCGGCCTGGCTCGCCTGATCAGGGTCCCGGGGTGGTTTGCGGGGCGGAGGGGGCCGTAGAGGCGCGGGAGCCCCCTTCTGCCCGGCCCGCTCCGAGCAGCCCGGCGGCCGCCGTTCCATTCGAACTGCCCGGGCCCTCGCCCCTCTAGCATCAAGGCACGGCCTTAGCCTCGTTGCAGGGAGATCAAGTCCCCTGACAGGCCCGCCGCGGTGGGGGATGGGCTCGGCGGCCTGGCTGCGGCCCCCTCGGGCGCGCCCGGACTCCCGCAGGCGGAAGGGGCCTCGGAGCTCACAGAGCCAAGCGGCCTCCCTTGTTGGAAGCTTCGGCCCCACAGCTGGCCTCCTCACCTCCTTACCTCCCGGCCGCCCAGAATGAAGATGCTGCATTTTAAAGAAGTTCAATATGTGTGCGTGGCGCACTTAGTCCACACTCATTATAATTTTGAATCCTCAGCAGTCCTGTGACACGGGCGATGCGGAGATTCTCAGCCCGGTTTAACAGATGTAAGGACTCGGGCTTCAGGCGGCTTCCGTGACTTGACAGGTCCCAGTACATGACCGGTGGAGCTGCAGCTGGATCTCAACATTTACCAACAACATCTTTGTTGCTGTTTCATCTTTGTTGAATTCCTCTGATGCATCTTGATTTATGTTACTTATGTGCTTGAAAACCTTCCCGTGTCTCCTCACCTTCCGACTGAAGCTCAGATTGAGCACTCAAAGTTGCCACAAGGCTTAGGCCCTTGCCTAAATTTGCAGTTTGTTTCCCACCATCCCCAGACCCCGCTCACTCTCAGTCTCTTTATTTGGCCCTGCGTCTGTGTTCTGTAGATAGCTGTCACCTTCCTGTTCACTCTGTTCCCTGTCCTTCAAAGCCATTGTTAGGTCCACATAACAGGAGGTGTCTGGATCCTCTCTTTGCTGCTTCCATCTTTTTCTGATGTCCATGGTACTTACCCTCGTCTTGCCACTAAAAGCTTTCTGCTCTGTCTTCTTCCCCATTTATACCTGTCACATATCATCCCTCTGCTACTCGCCATCACTAGATTACTCATTTATTTGTAAATGGTTCTGTCTCTCTAACTGGACTGCAACTTGAGCTGTGGGCCCAAATCTGAGTAATTTTTGTGGTCCCTAGAGTGTCTAGCATAGTAGCACTTAGCTATTGGGTAGGCCATCCATGGGAGTGACCATACCGACAGTATCTCCCATCAGCATCTCCTGCCTGGTCGCTGAGTACATTGGAATGTTTATTGCCAGGCACTGTGGGGGGCTACAGGAATCTCCCCTAAAGAGAGGTGTTATCCTCTGTGAGTAAAATCAAGGTCAGTTAATGCAAATGGATGAGATGAGTCTTCTCTAGAAGTAATCCACTCTGTACCCACTCAGAATGGTTGAGGAATTTCTAGGAACATCCAAAATTTAATCAGTGAGGCTAGACTATAGCCTGGCTAGGACAGCTCTAAAATATAGCCAGGTCTAGATACTCACATGTCAGTAAGGCACTGTTCACGTGTGAAGTGAGCAGGGTGTCTCTCAAATACTAGGGACTTGAGGTGAAACAAGTTTGGAGAAACTGCAGACTGTATATCCCTTTGGGAAATCACAGTGCACATTGACTTATTAAAGGCTCCCATGGGTCTTGCATTAAAGAAACCAGTTGACTGCTTAACCAGCATTTCTCTGATTTATCTGTCCATAAAGCCCTTTTTGGGAGTCCCGTGTGCATTTTGACCAAATCAAGGAGCGTGCTTCTGGGAATGCTGCAACAGAATAGAAAGCAGGACATGGTTGGGTATCTTTCTTGCTGTCCAAGTAGGGAGGACATTCTGAGCATTCTCATCTCTTTGCCAAGTATGCTCATTCCTGCCTTGGGGAGGAACACAGCAGGGCAGGGGAATGTTTCAAGCAGAACTCCCCAGTTTCCTTGTTCCTTTCTTAGCTTATTTTTATTATAATTTGGCTTCACATGGAAGTGTTCCCAGAGGAGGAAAATATCCTGGACTGTGCCAAAACATTCTCTTGTACTTGTGATTGTGTTTCTCGTTTTGATCACATTCGGGTTTACTGACCCAGTGATATTTCTGAGCCTCTGAAGCTGGGGCCAGTGGTAAATTCTCCCTGGTGAGCCTGTCGCTGTTTATCTGCTCACCTTTCACCTCTGCAGTTCTTGCATCTATCCACCCCCTTTTCTTTCACCAAATCTAATTCTTCTGTTCCCTGCCACCCCTGCTCTTAAGATTTAATCTTCTCTTTCCTTTCTGAGTCTTCTGCCCAGTATGTGCTTCAGACTGGTTTATTATCTGATGTCCTTTTCCTCCAGTATGTACAGTCTCTCCTTATGATATAACTGGAAGAGATTGCTGGTAAGGAAGAACTTGTTAAATTTCAGAAGAGAGTTACCTTTAATTCAAAGACCTTTAGTTTTAACTGCAACTCCTTTTAAATGTTGAAGTTCTTTTCTTCTGTCTTCTATAACCTAAATGAACTGTGTTTACTTGGCGATACAGTCTAGTTTAGCCAAAGACACTCATTACCTTTTTCATGGGGGATCAGAGTGCTCATCCAATACTGAAATATTTTCCCCATGAAGGGGAAATAATGAAGCACCTGCCTCGTGCACCTGCCTGAAGCACACCCCAGTGTCTGGTGGCAGTGTCAGCCAGCATTGGGAGCATTGTGTTCTGTCAACAGAGCTGGGGTTTGTTTGTTTTTTTGTTTTTTAATAGGCTCTCAAGGTTGTTGGGCTTCCCAGGTAGCTTAGTAAAGAATCTGCCTGCCAAGCAGGAGACGAGGGTTCTATCTCTGGGGTCAGGAAGATCCCCTGGAGAAGGAAATGGCAACCCATTCCAGTATCCTTGCCTGGGAAATTCCATGGACAGAGGAGCCTGGCAGGCTACTGTCCATGGGGTCGCAAAGAGTTGGACATGACTTAGCGACTAAACAACAAGGTTGTTAGCTGTCAAAACTTTAAACAAAAGCGGCATTATTTAATTAGCAATTGTTTTCCAAGTCATATTTGACTAAAGCCATCCAGTGATCCAAGAAACATTTGTTGGAATCCCGCATAACGATATTCCAAAGTCACACGACAGATAGGGAAACTGAGACTCCTAGAGGCTTCTTAGCTAGTAAGTGGCAGAGCTGGCATTTCAACCCACATCAGTTTGATTTGCTGAGGTATGTTTTTTTCTTTCTCTCAGGTCAACAAGTAAAATGAAGTACATTCTCGTTACTGGCGGTGTCATATCAGGAATTGGAAAAGGAATCATCGCCAGCAGCGTGGGCACGATACTTAAGTCATGCGGTTTACATGTGACCTCCATTAAAATTGACCCGTATATTAACATTGATGCAGGCACATTCTCTCCTTATGAGCATGGTAAGCAAAATGCATTTCTTTTTTAAAAATAATAATTATGTTATATGTGAAAGAAAATGTCAGTTCTTGGAAATTGTGTGTGTTTTGCTTCGCATGACCTCCATTTCCTGCCTCCTGAGAAGAGTCCTTGGCAGAGCAAAGTGATGGTTTTCTTACCCTGACATAGAGAAAGCAGAAATCTTAAGGGGCAATGGAGTTATTAGAGTTTTGTGGTTTCTTTGATAGAAATGATATTTTAGGTGGCTGAATGAAAATTTGTCTTTTCTCTTGGAAAATGATATCTGGCGACATGGTAACTTTTCAAATATTTGGGAAGAGGGATTGTGTTTATTCTCTGTGGCTCCAATCTTTAGGAATAGGATGGCTGGATAGAAGTTTTAAGAACATAGATTTTGGCCCAATATACAATCTTCCTAATAGCAAATGCTCTCCAAGAGTGGGGTGACAACTTCAAGAATTTGTGTGTTCCCTTTGGTTGAGATGTTCAGAGGCCGAAGGACTGCTTTGTAGGGATCCGGGCCACAGATGTTGAATTTGGGTGATCTCTATGCTTGACATTCTGTTTTGCTTACAGAGTTTGGATAATAAAAGCAAGCATCTTTAATTTAATTTAATTTAATTAATTTATTTTTTTAAAGCAAGCATCTTTTAAAGTGAGTGAAAAGTCAAAACCATTAAGATAGGAATATAGCACTTTACTTCTTTGCTATTGCTGGTTACCTCCCAACTGTGTGATAACTGTCTGAATTATGTAAGAGAGTAATTACTTGAAATTGGGGGGTAGATGTACTGTTAAGACATGTTAAAAAAAAACTTCAGTTTTTAAATTGTTTTCATACTACTACTTTGTAATAAGAGGTAAAAATCTATGAGTGTCATCAGAGCAAAATCTTTGTGTCAGGAAAAGATGGAAAAATTGAAGCAATATTTCAGAATTCTTGAGAGCAGAGGATGAGGAAAAAGCAAGGCCAATTTTTACTTTTCCTATATTTGAGCTTGTCTCCACTGTGATGGTTGGAAGGTCCCATTTAGGGCACAAATTGTAATGGCATTTAAAGGCATGCGTCTTAAACAAAAGAATAGGAGGAAACTTGAGCAATTTTGCACTTTTGTTTTGGACCAAAACATGGCCCAGAAGTCAGTTTTTATAATCAGCATGACTAGACTATGTTTAACTTTTTGGATCAAATCCTACTTTTATTACATTTAAACCTTTCTCTGCTCAAGTAGACGACTTTGTTGCCTATGGGCAGTGGATGCCATAGCATATAAAGTCCCCTGTGTCTTGCATGGCTGTAGTTTCCTTCTGTTCATTCCATGCTGTTTCACAGCAGACTCTTCTGATTCAGAATGGGTTTGGAGGTAGACTGGAAGTATTGAGTTAATCTTTTGCAGAATGGTAGGTGATTTTTCTTTCATGTTATATTTACTTTTCTAAAATAAATTTCCCTGCTTCTGTCAAGTTAATGCAAACATTGTTCTGTTCAGGTGTTTATATTTGGGGACTCAAGTCGTGCCATGGTGTATCTATCTTTCATGCGTCCTAACTGTTTTCACTGTTCACTGCAGGTGAGGTTTTTGTGCTAGATGATGGTGGGGAAGTAGACCTTGACCTGGGTAACTATGAACGTTTCCTTGATATCCGCCTCACCAAGGACAATAATCTGACCACTGGCAAGATCTATCAGTACGTCATTAACAAGGAACGCAAAGGAGATTATTTGGGGAAAACCGTCCAAGGTAATACTGGATTTGCCTTCAATGTTTAAAAACCTTAACCAGTTTAATGTCTTTTGTGTATAAAAATGTACCTTTTATGCAATTTCAGCATGAAAGCATCAAGTATTATGATTGAAATATATTTTCAGTTGAAAATTCAAGTCATTTTTTGAGTGGGCTCCCGCCTCTCTATGAATGGCATTGAGGCTGACAGTCCAGCTGCGTGATTTGAGTGAGAGAGCTATTGTTTTTGCACAGTGATGAGTGTGAAGTGATGAAGGCAACTAGATGAGGGCAATAAGCCAGACAGTGTGTGTTGTCCATCTGGAATGTTCTGTGTATAGACAGTGAGAAGGAAAAGGACTCCCATCATGTCCATTGGTCTTTGGGCTGGTCATGGGCTGGAGGGAGTCTGAGAAGTGGGTCTCTGGGTCCGCCTGAGCATTCACCAGCGCAGCCTTTGCTGTGTGTGGATTTTGCACACCGACCATTTGAGACCTGTGCTACTTTTTAAAAGGTGGGGTTGGAAAACCACTGGTCTGCTATAATGGCATAAACCCAAATTTGGGGGGTTGTTGAAGAGTGACTCTCATCTGAGTCATGAGAGTAAATCTGCTGTTGACTTTGGACTTTGCTGGACTGCGAACGGAGGGTCACACTGACAGCTGGCTCTGCCCTGGGGCCACCCTGGCCGGATTCTGGGCTGAGGGGTCACGTGTAGGTCTTAGCTCTCCCACTTACCAGCTTTGTGAAGCCTAACTTCCTTTTCTGTGAAATGAGGTTAATAACAGTGCCTACCTATCTAGGTTGTTGGCAGAATCAAAGGAGCTGAGTCAGTGGAGTATGTCTCTTGAGTTCCCAACACACAGGACAGTATTGATTAGGAGCTGCAGTGATCTTTATCATACAGTTTGCTGTTCTAGGCCCCTGATGTCTTCATTCATTTATTCACTCGTCAGTGATTTCTTCATTGTTCAATACGGTCAGTCGCTCCCTGGTGCTGGGAGTAAATGGTGAACAAGACCAGGGAGGCCATTGTCCTCATGGAGGTTACACAGGGTTACGTGGGAGAGGAAAAAATAAACAGATGAAGTGAAATGTCTGGTAGGAGCTAAGAGGGAACTAAATAGAGTGAGGAGAGAGTGGTGTGGAAAGGGGTCAGGACTGCTGGTCAGGAAAAGCCTCCAAGGAGGGGGCTTGTAAGCTGAGAAGCTAGCCCTGGGAAGGGAAGGAGGGGGCTCAGCACAGACAGAGACCCCGGGTGGCAGCGGGCCCGCTCAGGTACCAGGAGGGAGGCTTTCTGCACGAGACCAAGGTACAGGGGAGAGGTGGGTTGCACCCAAGTTCCACAGGGCCTCCCGAAGGGCCGTGGCATGGAGGTCACCTTTTATGCAGAGTCTGCAAGGCCGTTCAAGAGTTTAAGCCTGGGAGAGATGAACTCTGAGTTGTATTTTTAAAAGATCACTTTGGCTGCTGTGAGCGGACTACATCATATCCTGTGCTGGAGGCGCTGCGGGTTATATACATAGTGGGTTAAACAGTAATCTCTGCTCTGTTGGAATTGGCCTCCTGAGCCCCAGGACTGTGATTTGAAAAGTGCCGAGCTGTGGCTGGTGAGGGTGAACACTGTCTACTTATCAGCTTCCCAGGGCGCTCTGGCGACATATCCACGACCTTAGGAAGGAGAAACTCTTACCTCCAGTTCACAGATAGGGAGATTGGACTTAGGAATAGTTAGGTAATGTTGCCCAAAGATCCACACCTAATGAGTGGAGGACCTGAGATTTGAATCCAGAGACGCTGGGTCCCAGCCACCCTGTTGCGCTGTCCTGTCTCTGTAGCAGGTTGTCTACCCTTCGGTAAACCGGAAACGAAATGGAACCAGGTCCTGGGGCTTTCTTGTCCTTGGAAAAGGGTGTGTGTGATGTGCTTCCCCAGCCATAAGCAGGAGGGGTAGTAGCCTCGCAGTGGTTGGGGAACCAGGGTAGGTTCTGCATTGGGGCCACCGCTCCCAGGTGCCTCAGGTTGCCCCTCGAGGTCCTGCTCCTCCTGCAGGGCTTCCAGTCACAACTGGGAAATCTGGAAGGGAGGCCGGGGGAGTGTGATTTGTTAAGGGCATTCAAGAGGGGTCTCAAAGATACTGTTATACCCCCCCTGCTGCTCTGCGGTTTGTTGTCACAAAGAGTATGTTTGCCTCAGTTAATGCCAGTGGGACGTGCAAGTCACGGGGGTCTTTTCTCTCCCTCAGTGGTCCCGCACATCACAGATGCCATCCAGGAGTGGGTAATGAGACAGGCCTTAATACCTGTGGACGAAGATGGTCTGGAACCTCAAGTGTGTGTTATCGAGGTTTGTTGAGTCTCCGTGGTACCCATGCATGTGACCGGGTATGCATTTTCTCCTCTTTAGTCAGCCACCAGCTACCGATAAGCCAGCTGCCAGTGAAGCCCTTGACCCTCCCAGGGGAAGCATGGCAGGTGAGGGCGCTGTCACTATTGTGTGGAGTGGCCCCACCATCAAAAGCGATACTTGGCTCACGCCTTCTCCTTTTCCAGCATTTATACATTTATACACGTGCTGAGTATGGCTTGTACAATGAGAGCAGTATGACACCCTTTCCTTTGTCTCTCGAGAGAGTCGGGTGGTCCAACCTTCTGTCTGCAGTGGCGGGAATGTTTCTCCCCGAGCCTCCTGTGGTTCCAGCTTCTGTGCTCCTGCTTTGCTGATCCCAGCTGTTAGACCTCAGTGTTCCTGTGAAAACAAGAGACTCCAGCAGTTTGTTTATAAATGGTTTTTATTATAACACAGAAGTTATTTATGGCTAAGTAGTAAGGTCTCAGGTTCTTTGCTTTGTGACTCTTCAGACAAATAAAATTCCCTAGGGCTTCTTTTACCTGACCTTTTCCTTGCCATGATGTGGAAAGATCCGTAATAACCTTGGGGAATGGTGAGGCTATCAGAAAGGGATCTCTTAGTACAGAGAAGTGTCTGCTTCTTGTTAACTGACGTTTGTTGGATCCAGGGCATCTGTATTGCATTGTTAGCGATAATTGAGATGACAGTGCAATTGTTAGGAAACTAAACCACAAGATTAGTGCTTCACCTCTAAATTAACTTTGTTATTCTAGCTCGGTGGGACAGTAGGAGATATAGAAAGCATGCCCTTTATTGAGGCCTTCCGTCAATTCCAGTTCAAGGTCAAACGAGAGAACTTCTGTAACATTCACGTCAGCCTAGTGCCGCAGGTAAGGCATTTAGAGCTTCACTTTGGGGGATGGAGAAGAGGGAGAAAAGGATAGTTTTCACTCCTTATCTGTTTCAAATATTTGAGGTGCAGGAAACAGGGAATACACACTTCTTTGTGAACTTTAAATTATTATAATCATATTTTTGCAAAGATCAAATGGAAAACATTTGAAAAATTGATCAGGGAAATTTGCAGTTGAAGGCAGTAGGTTGCACATGTCCATTTGTCTCTAGTACATGGTGAAACTATACGGCAACTGGAGTAAAGGGAATTTCTTTTTAAGACAAAAATTCACAAAGATGAATCCTCTGAGTGGAGTCAGTAGTAACAAAATTAGGAAGGCAGAAAGCAGATGGTCTTGTAGAAACGAGCTGGGCAGACCTAGGAGAGCTGGATCCTAAGCTGGCAGCGGGGAAACTAGAGAGCAAGCCTGCTCGCCCTGCAGAACCCTGAAGACTCGGGAATGAGCAGCCCTGGGCGCCTCGGGGTGAGGTGGGACTCGTTATAATTGCTATTTCCGAAGCACGTAGACTCTGGCGTTCCTTACTATAATGTGCACAGCTGGGCATCAGTCCTCTCTTGCCTTGGCAGAGGACTGTAGGCTTTTTCTGGGTGAGTAGACACTAGGGACAGTGTAATTTTACTTTGTGGAGACACCCTGCCTTCTGCTGCTGGGTTTGCAGATCATCTAGCCAGGCTTCCCTTGTGGCTCAGCTGGTAAAGAATCCGCCTGCAATGCAGGAGACCTGGGTTTGATCCCTGGGTTGGGAAGATCCCCCTGGAGAAGGGAAAGGCTACCCACTCCAGTATTCTGGCCTGGAGAATTCTATGGACTGTACAGTCCATGGGGTCGCAAGAGTTGGACACGACTGAGCGACTTCACTTTCACACTTTCATAGTCAGGCAGGGACTGTCTATAAGAGACTGTAGGATTCTTAGGGTATGTGACTAACCCAGGAGAAAGCACACTGCCTTGAGAGGCTCCCCAGTGAAAACAGACCAGTCAGATTCCCACAGCTAGGACCCTGGTGGACAAGCCCACCCACTCTCAGAACTTCGGTTACCTTTTAGAGTGAGCTGGCAGCCAGTGATCACAAGGCATTTTGAGAAAGCATCTAGCATGCAAGAGACCAAAACAACAGAAGAAAATTAACTTAGAGGAAATTGAGGCTCTGCAGGGGTAGGAAAAGGAAACTTCAGAAAAAGAAAAAGCAACATCTCATTAATATCCTCAGAATTAAGAGGAAATAAACTGCATCCATTAAATGGAGCCAGATACATTAAGGAGAGAACATTCAAAGGACAGAAAAGAATTCTTGGAAATTAGAAATTAAATAGCAAGAATGAAAATTTAGGAGAGAGAAGGCTAAGGAAATACCCTATAAAGTAGAGCAGGAAGATCAGGAGAGAAAACAGGAGAGAAAAGACAAGGAACTTAGAGGTTGGTCTAGGACTGCTGATCCAATAATCGGGTTTTTAAAAAATAGGAGAAATGGAGAGGCATATGTAATGTGAACCAGGGGTCAACAGACAGGCTGAATCAACCCACCTTCTGTTTCTGAAAGTAGAACAGCCAAGCCCATTTGTGTTAAAACATCAGAGTTGAGCAGTTGTGACAGAGTGTGTGGCCTACAAAGCCTAAAATATTTATTGTCTGGCCTTTTATAGGAAAATTTTTCTGACTCCTGATCTAAAGAAGTCAAGGAAATTTCCAGATAGGAATTTCTAGATTGGAGGGCCTAGTTTATGCCCAGCCTATTAAATGAAAAATGACCCCCCACCAAGGTACATAGTTGTGAAATTTTGCAATAATGGGGCAGAAATTCTAAAAATCTCTAAAGAGAAAAATCAAGACTCACTGTGGCATTAGAGTTCTCAACAGCAGTCCTGAAATCTAAAAGATAGTGAAGCTGTTTCCTTAAAAATTTTCGGGGAAAATGACTTCTAACTTAGAATTATATACCCAAGAAATATATCTGTGAGAGGAGAATAATTTAGTATATAGAAAACTCAGCATATCCACAAAATAAAACCAAAAAACCAACTAAGGAAGCCAAATCACTGGAAAAGTCATGGCACATGGTTTAGTTTGTACAGTATCTACTGAGATGGGGGCTGCAAACACAAGGCAGGTGCATGTAATGGGGGCAGGGAAATGAAAAGAGTGGGTTCCTGATCCAAAAGGGAAATCAGTAGAAGATGCCTCAAAATGTCAAGAAGTAGTAGTGTAAAGGATAGTAGGAGGATCATTCAAGGGTGAAGGACCTACTGTATGGCATAGGGAACTACATTATATATCTTGTAATTATAATGGGAAAGAATCTGAAAAAGTATACATGTATGTATGTGTGTACATATACATATGTATATATATATGTATATAGTTATGTATATATAAAATATATCTGAGTCACTTTGGTGTACACTTGAAACGAACACAACATTATAAATCAACTGTTGTTATTTTAGTTGCTAAGTTATGTCCAGCTCTTTGCGACCCCATGGGCTATAGCTGGCCAGGCTCCTCTGTCCGTGGGATTTCCCAGGCAAGAATACTGGAGTGGGTAGCCATTCCCTTCTCCAGGGGATCTTCCTGACCCAGAGATCAGATCCACATTCCTGCATTGGCAGGCGGATTCTTGACTGCTGAGCCACCAGAAGATCATGTATACTCCAATTTAAAGAAAAAAGTAAACTAAATGGTAGTTTAGGTAAATGGTGAAATTATCTATTCATGTATTAAAAGAGGTTGGCAGAAAAGTCATACTTGAAAATCCCTTATCACAGAGAAACTAACTTTTTTTTCCCTTCTATAAAATAGCCAAGTTCAACAGGGGAGCAGAAGACTAAACCCACCCAGAACAGTGTTCGGGAACTAAGAGGGCTTGGGCTTTCCCCAGACCTGGTAAGATTCCTGCTTATCTGGTTTCAGTGTCATCTTGTCTGTCTAATTGAGATCTGGCCTTCGTGAAAGCTAAAACCTTTGTTTTCTTGGCCTGCGTGTAGTTATCCAGTGGTGGCAAAATAGAGTTAGCGCTTTGAACTAGGATGTGGTTTTCAAAGATTTCCGTACCTGGCATGTATGAGATTGTGTCTTCTCCTCCCGGCCAATCATTCATTCTCATGTTCCTCCTACCCGAGAACAGTGGTTGAGGAAAACCCCAGTTGGCTCATTAATCTGTCTGTCAATTTGTCCTACCACTCTTTCACGTTTCTCCAACTTGGGATTTAGGAAGTTTTGAAAACAGGTAACATTTTTACAGTTTCTGTGCATTGTGCTAGGAGTTGACATTTTCATCCAGCTTAACAATGTGGTGTCTACTTTAATTTCATTCGGGAGAAAAACCCAACTTTGTAACCCCTTCCGTCCCTCCAAATGTCTAGGTTGTGTGCAGGTGCTCAAATCCTCTTGACACGTCAGTGAAAGAGAAAATATCAATGTTCTGCCATGTGGAACCTGAACAAGTAAGTAGAAATTTCATCTTCTCATAAATCATTTTTTGCTTCTAATTAGCCTAGTCTAAAGAGTCGGACACGACTGAGCGACTGAACTAACTAACTAACTAACTTAACCAGTTTCATGAGGCTTGTTGCTGTTTCATAATTTGAGACAGGAGACTGTTCCCTAGAAGAACTGACACCCGTGGTCTCTCTGATTCTCCATCACCTTATCTCTGTGGTTCCCCAAACATCCCTTACCTGTCCTGTCTGTCCCGACTCCTCCTACTGTTTGCTCCAGCCAATGCCCAGTGGGTGCTCCCCTCCCCAAAAATAGGCCTGACAGTCTATTCCTCCTCCTCCTTCGGAGCCCAACTAGGACACTGTATTGTCTGAGAAGCTGTACCTTCCCGACCCCGTCAGAACTCTGGGTGACCTGTGTGTCTCACAGGTCCTGTAGGTGAGCCTGTCATAATTACCCGTTAGTGTTTATGTGTATGTGTGGCCGTGTGTGTGTGTTCCCGTGTGTGTGTGTGTGTGTGTTCGTTTTGTCTGTGTGTGTCTCCCCTCACAGACCGAGCTTCTAGAGGGCAAGGATCACTTTATTCAACTTTATATTCCTGGAGCCTGCTGTCTAAGGTGTTGTAGGCTCTAGACATATTTTAATCTTTTTTTGTTACTTGTGCTAATAGCGGTTACCTATGGTACAGGAAACTCAGCATTGTGGAAGCTGATATATCTCAAGTGCATGGTATGGAAATTCCAGGGGTGGTGAGTTGGGATTGTGACTCTGGTCAGGTTTGGGTGACGGAGAGCAGAAGGAAGTTGAGGTTAAAGAACTTATGGTCGGGTTATGGATGGTTTGTTCTATTACTAGGTTGTTTGAGGATCAGGGGAGCCCAGCTGGCTTAGGGAGGAATGAGTGAAGCAGCGGGGTTAAAGTTAGAGAAATCCATTCACAAGACTTCTAGGAGTATGGAAAGTGAATATGAAAAAATGAAAGTAACTGTGCTGGCATTAGAGCGAATGAAGCAAGAGGAAAGCCTTTGTCCATCAGAGGCAGCGGTCCCCTCCAGCTCCATGACAGCTTGTGCTTCAGGGCGTGGGGGCAGCCGGAGACTGGAGATCATCGTTCCTGGGTTGATGCCTGAGCCAGGAGCTCCATCCGAGGGATTCTGTTTCATCCTAAGTGCGTGGAGTGTCAGAATACTTGCGTTGATATAAGCAGCCTTTTTTCATGCACTTCAGTTATTTTTTACATTTCTGTTCTTGCAAGTGAAGGTAATTCAATTCTATAATGGGGTAAGTTATCATTAAGATTGAAAATGTTAGTTGCTCTGTCATGTCTGACTCTTTGCAACCCCATGGACTGTAGTAGCCTGCCAGGTTCCTCTGTCCATGGGATTCTCCAGGCAAGGATACTGGAGTGGGTAAGCGCTTCCCTTCTTCAGGGGATCTTCCTGACCTAGGGATCGCACCTAGCTCTCTTGCATTGCAGGCAGTTTCTTTACCATCTGAACCATGGCATTTTATCAAAAATAAATGTAAAGCAAAGTTCCAACTTATATTAGTTCAGTTCAGTTGCTCAGTCGTGTCCGACTCTTTGTGACCCCATGGACTGCAGCATGCCAGGCCTCCCTGTCCATCACCAACTCCCGGAGTCCACCCAAACCCATGTCCATCGAGTTGATGATGCCATCCAACTGTCTCATCCTCTGTCATCCCCTTCTCCTCCTGCCCTCAATCTTTCCTAGCATCAGGGTCTTTTCCAATGAGTCAGCTCTTCACATCAGGTGGCCAAAGTATTGGAGTTTTAGCTTCAACTTATATAGGGGACTTTTAAAAAAATTCACAACTGTTGAGAAGCAGAACTGTACATATGAGGAAAATTCTATCATACAGCTAATGCTGGGAGGCAGGATTGCATGTAATTTAAAAATACAGATTTTTTTCCCCCCTCTTCTGTCTTCATTGTCTCAGAATTTTGCTGAAATTAGTCACTATTAAAAATGTGACAGGTGTTTCTGTATTTAAATTAGAACTTCACATATTTTGCCTGTCTTTTAATTTTCTTACTGAGTTTTAGGAGTTCTTTATATATTTTGAGTGCAGGTCTTTTATCAGATACATCATTTGCATATTTTCTTCTCAGCTTGTGGTTTGTCTTTTCATTTGTTTTGTTTTTCCTTTTTTAATTGAAGTATAATTGATTTATAGCGTCATGTTAGTTTCAGGTATATGTCTTTCCATTTTCTTAATAGTGTCTTTGGGAGCATAAAAGCTTTTACATTTTTGATGAACTCCCTGTTTATCAGTGTTTTTCTTTACAGATGGTACTTTTGGTGTCATATCTAAGAACTCTACTTAATCAAGGTTATAAAGATTTTCTTCTCTGTTTTCTAGAAGTTGTATAATTTTAGGATTTAAGACGTACATAGGTCTAGGATTCGTTTTAAGTTAATTTTTATGGATGATAACTTCAATAAAATTTGCATGGAGCTGTCTAGCTGTTGCAGCTCCATTTGTTGAAAGAACTATCTTTCAGTAATCTAGTTTTCTTTGTGAAGGTGATATATAGATTTTTTTATCTTTATGAATTGTGTTTTAGATTTATTTATAGGTATTCATAGTTTTTTTACTATGTGAATGACATATTTTTTAAAAATTTTATTTCTTGATTAGATATGACCTATGTAGGGGACTTCCCTGGTGGCTCAGATGGTAAAGAATCCACCTGCAGTGCAGGAGATCTGGGTTTGATCCCTGGGTCAGGAAGATCCCCTAGAGAAGGGAATGGCTACCCACTCCAGTATCCTTGCCTGAGGAATTCCATGGACAGAGGAGCCTGGCAGGCTCCAGCCCCGTGGGGTCACAGAGTCTGACACGACTGAGTGGCTAACACACACACACACGTAGGAAACCCTGTTGAGTTTTGCCCATTGATCTCAAGCTTAGAAACCTTACTAAACTTAATAGTTCTGATTCTTTGCCTGTAAGTTCCCTTGGTTTTTATGAATAAGCAATAATATATATATATATTTTAGCAATAATATTACATCCAATTAGTGGCAATTGTTTCTTATTTTCCAATTCATATACATTTTTTCTTATCTAATTGTAATGTCTAATATCTCTAATATATTGAATAGAAATAATAATAGTGGCCAGGTTTGCCTGTTTCAGACTTTATGTATTAAATGACATTAATATTAAATATCAAGCCAAATGGTATTGACTGTGGGTTTTTTATATTTTCATATTTTCCCCAATTTAATAAGAATTTTTATTGTGAATTTGTATTAGATTCTCATCCACCAAGGTGATCTTCCACCCCACCTTTTAATTTATTCCTGTAGTGAATTCTGCTGTTAAATTTAAGTGGTGTGTGGTGCTGCATGGGCCTTTGACTTTTTAAAAGCTCACTTGGGAGTGATTCCAACGAAAGCCAATTTTTAGAACCATTGTTATTGGGACATTTGCTACTTGGACATGATTTTTTTAAAAACTAATTTGTGGTTTTGTTTATGAATTCTTGAGGACTTTTGCACCTATGTTCATAGGAGATTAGCCACTATCTGTTCTTAATTTATATTTTTTAGAAAGTTGACCTTTTCTCTGTTTTTCAAATTTAGAACAGTTATTTTCCCAAGGTCATAATACCTGGCAGGAGGCTGTTTAGCACGGTTAGTTTTTGTTCCTTTTCATGAACTAATTTTGCTCACTTTTAAACAGGTGATCTGTGTCCATGATGTCTCATCCATCTACCGAGTCCCCTTGTTGTTAGAGGAGCAGGGGGTTGTAGATTATTTCCTCCGGAGACTTGACCTTCCTATTGAGAGGCAGCCACGAAAAATGCTGATGAAGTGGAAAGAGATGGCCGACAGGTTTGCTTCTTAATAACGACCTGGGGGTCTCAGCCTTATTTTTCCTTTCTTTTGGTAGAAGCTTATGGAATTCAGCTCTTTCTTATGTGGTATCATCTCACATTGGAAAGGCCTTCATGGTAAGGGTTGTGAAGAAAGGATCTTAGCCAGCCCTCACGTAGCTGCATCATGAATGAGGAAGTCCTGGTAGAGCTGAGTTAGGTCACAGATGACACAGCTGTCTCCCTTGTCTCCCATGCAAACAGGCTTCCTTGTGGTGGTGGGCTAGCAGTGGTACCTGAGGCCCACACGGATGGCTGAACATGGCTGGAGCATTCCTGGGTGCTCCCAGGTACCTGAACTGTGTTTGGGAACGTGCCCACCCCACACCACAAAAGGATCAGCAAGGATGTCCAGTCTTTTCTTTCTTCCTTTCTTTTTGTCACTGAATTTGGATTCTTATTTTCCGTGTCAGAGGAAAAGGATTTTTCAAATCATTCAGCTGCCAGTGAGATTATCAGGCAGAAGAAAAGCTTTAGCTGGGTGTCTGTCATCAAAAATAAATACAGTTGCATGAAGTTCCTCAAGATCTGAATCAAACTAAAAACAGGAAGGCAGGGGGTTGAAACATTATTTTAAGAACCTCCCCTACCTCCAGCTGTGGGTCACTCCGTGGGCTGAAGGTCCTGTCCAGTCTATTCTTACTGCTACTGTCACAGCTCATCAGTTTGAGAACTGGCCCACCCTGTGTACCCCTCACTTTGAGAGGCTTACACAGCACATGACGGACCTTGGCCCAGCGCCTCCGAGCCCTGGGTGTGCATAATCACCCAGACAGCACTAATCAGCATGTGAGGAGGGAGCACGCGTGCCGTGGCTCAGCCATCCTCATTTCATTTTGACATTTTTCCCTTTCAGTCTATGTCCATTTGCTTGTATGTCATTATGTGGCCACGAAAGTAGCACAGTTTAATGAACTTTCATAAAATATTATAAGCATTTTTGTGTTACTAATGATACTTTATAATGAAAAACTTTAATGAGTATGGACTGTTGTGTGGATGCCCATAATTGGACTCTTCCCCATTAACTCTTGTGAATTGTCTGTGTTTGTTAATCTTGGAGTAGATTTTGAAGCCATCTCTTGGTAGCGGGTTCCAAAATCCTACTTTCTTTACAAAGCCTGCCATGTTGATCTGAAACTTACTTTGTCTTTACTGTTCTGTACCTAGAACTCAGACAGTAGTTGCTCCCGTCCTCAGACTTTTTTTTTTTTTTCCCTCTTTAAATAGTGATTTTTATCTCATGGGGATATGTATGTCCTGAGTAACTTGATGTTTCTTGACCTTTGTGTGATAGGTATGATCGCTTGCTGGAGACTTGCTCTATTGCCCTCGTGGGAAAATACACCAAGTTCTCAGACTCGTACGCTTCTGTCATTAAAGCTCTGGAGCATTCTGCACTGGCCATCAACCACAAACTGGAAATCAAGGTGAGCAGCGGACACAGGTGTAGTGTGGTGTGGCATGCACACCTGCTTAGTATTTTTGGAGCTCAGAATGTCTTTTTAGAAATCAAAAAGACCTGTGGTTGACTCCTGGCTGGGAGAGAACAGTAGAGCATTTTTAGGAAATATGGGGAGATGTGGTCAGAGTAGAAGCCAAGAGAGTGGACGCTTGGATCTGAATGTCAGGTGACTCCAGCGGTGAGGAGTCCTAGTGGCCAAGCACGTGGCACAGTTGCTGGCACCTGTCCAGTGTCCACCCGGGAGGTTTCTTATAACTTGTCTCCACTCACCCAGCTGGTGCCTGGAACACGGGCAGTGCCTGGTGGGCAGTGCTCACTGTGTTCTCTGGGACAAGCCGGGCAGAAGCTGAGCTGCTGGCATGTCAGGGCACAGCCCCTGCCCATCTGCTGGAGGCGGTGGAGTGTCAAGGTTCAGGGCAGGGCTTCCAGAGCCTAGTGGCAAAGCCGCAGAGTCTGTGTGACCCTGGGCAGATTACTTAGCTCTCTTTGGGCCTCAGTTTCGCCATCTTTATTTTTTTTTTTTAATTTTTAAAAATATTTATTTTTTTATTTATCTGGCTGCATTGGGTCTTAGTTGCATCACGCAGGATTCTCCTTATGGTGCACAGACTTTCTGTTTGGGGTGTGCAGGCTTAGTTGCTCCGAGGCACGTGGGACGTTAGTTCCCTGACCAGGGATTGAACCTGTGTCCCCTGAATGGCAAGCTGGATTCTTAACCACTAGACCACCAGGGAAGTCCTGATTTCCCCATCTTTGAAAAGAATTAGTGATGGTGCCTTTTTGTAAGAGTTCTTTTTATAAGAACTGAGTGAGTTCATGTGACGTGCTTGGAACTGTGTTTGGAGTAGAGGAAGTGCTATATGGGTCAGCTCTTCCTGAAAACCTTCCACTTGTCCCCTTACACTTTTTTTTCACCAGCAAAGTATCTCCCACATAGAGCTTTTCAGGAGGGGTCGGAAGTGAGAAGTGGAGTTGGAGCTCAGTGCTGAGGGGTTGACTAGGCACAGAGCTGACGGCCCTGGGCAGCTGACCTCACCCTTGGCACTGGGGTTGGCCTCCTGCTTTCCACGGGTTTCCCAGGATGAAAGTGAAGCTGCTTTGAGCTGGTGAGCAGGTTCCTAGAGGAGGAGCTGTTCTATGTGCTTTAAGAATTGTGGGATCTCCTTACCTTGCCTTGCCTTATTTTTTCACTAGTTTTTTCAGTCATTGATTCATTTTATCCCCTTGGAGGTAGCCTGTGCCAATCATGTGTTAGATTGTGGAGGACGAGAAGGGTGTCTGAGTCAGTGAGGTGTCTCAGGTATGAAGGGAGCATGCAGAAGAGGGGAGATCATGCCTTGGTAGATGTGTGAGGAGGGGCCTGTGGGCAGGTCTAGGAAGAGAGATAAGGCCACAGGGAGGGGCATTCCCAAGAGCAGATAGCATTTATCCAAGGACTTCGAGGTGTGGAATGGTTGGGAACTTGGTGGATAGGAGAAGTGTGAATTGGAGGGTGTCTGGAGAGAGGCTGGCGAGGGCCTGGTCATGAAATGTATCAGTTGGGCCGCTCCTGGATTTTGACCCCGGGTTCAGGGAAGTCACCGCAGGGTATTAGGCAGGAAGGAGCAGAAAGATGAACAATGTAATAAAAAAGTGGGCAGAAGATTTGAACAGACACTTCCACAGAAGATACACGTGATATAGATGAAAAGATGCTTAACGCCTTTAGTTGTCAGGGAGATAAATGCAAATTAAGTCTCAGTGAGGTACCAACACGCACCCACCTAAGTGGCTAAGCGTGTCGGTGAGGACGTGGGAGTGTAAACTGGTGCAGTTGCTCGAGAAAAGAGTCTGGTGGTTTCTCATGAAGGTAAACACACGCCTTCTGTGTGACCCAGCCATCCCACTCCTAGATATTTACTCAAGAGAAGTGAAAACATGTCCACGAAAAGAATGTATTTTTATACAAACGGACCAGTTAGTCATAACAGCTAAAATCTGGGAACAGCCCGAATGTCCAGGACGAGTCGGTGGATAAACATTATCATGTGCTGTATTCCTGCAGTAGAAAAGTACTCAGTAGTAAGAATAAAGTCCATAGTGATACCCCACACCACGATGAATCTCAGAAATGGAAGGCTACCCAGGGCATAGTTCTGTTTGTCTGAAGTTCTAGAGGAGGCAGAACCAGTGGTGACAGAAAACAGAGCCTGGAGCAGGAGGCAGGAAGGATGTTGTTTGCAGGGGCACAGAGGGAACCATGGGGAACTTCCTAGATCTTAATCAAGGTAGGGGTCATTCCTTTGCGTGGGACAGAACTCATGCAAGTACACAGTTAAAATGCTTGTGTCTCATTGAATGTGAGTTATACTTCCACACAATCGAGGAGCGTGAGAACCCGCCTGGGAGGGGAGATGGACTGGGGGAGATGCCTTAAACAGAGGGGACTCTTCAGGGTCTGCACCAGCGGACTGAGTATAGATGGGGAGCCAAAGCTTCATGATTTGAGAAGGGAACTCATAGTCTACAATATAAGAAAGGTGCTAAAGTTTATCTTTGAAAGATTAGTACAAATACATGAAGGTTATTTTTAAATTTTATATTAAAATTAAGAAAGATGGAGTGTGGGTAATATTGTTCAGAGATCAGGACAGAACATGCCCAGGAGTCACGGGCCTGCTTCTCTTCTCTCCACTCTGACCACTCCCAGTACATAGATTCCACGGACCTGGAGCCCAGCACCTTGCAGGAAGAGCCAGTGCGCTACCACGAGGCCTGGCAGAAGCTCTGCAGTGCCCAGTAAGCAGAACTCTCTACCTTTGCTTTCAGGGGTTCGAGCTGTGTCTTAATGAATGCAGTACTGTGCTCTCTCCTGGTGGTAGATAATCTGACTGTTTAAATGTCTTTTAATTATTGAAAGGGCTACACCCTGGAGGACTGAAGCCTCACAAAAATATAGCTTACCAGTTTTTTAAAAAGATATTTTTGATGTGGACCATTTTAAAGTGTTTGTGGAATCTGTGACAAGATGGCTGTTTTTATGTTTTGGTGTTTTGGCCACAAGGCATGTTGGGATCTTGGCTCCCTGACCAGGGATCAGACCTGTACCCCCTGCATTGGAAGGTGCAGTCTTAACCGCTGGACCACCGAGGAAGTTCCACAGCTTATTAGTTTAATTAATTAATATGAAGAAAACTAGTTCTAACTTTGTTGATAATGTTTACTGCATGTATCTTTAGATGAGACTGTTTTTAATTAAAAAACAAAAATCCCCTCTGGTGCCTCAAGTCTTATGAGAACCCAGTTCCCTAACCAAGGGTTGAATCCAGGCCATAGCAGTGGAAGTGCTAAATCCTAACCACTAGACCACCAGGGGATTCTCCGGATGAGGCTCATAAAAGGTTTTTCGTTCAGACCATTTGATGAGGACCCATCAGTAGAATTTCATAATTTTTTTTTTTTTTTCGCAGCTATTATCTAATATAACAGTAAAAAAATCAGTAAGAATTTCTGGTTCCCTAGACAAGTTGAATGTTACAGAGCCATATAGCTATGATTAGTGTGGCTCTGACTGACGAGGAAAGACCCTCTTCCTACTTGGGGGAGCCAAGGGGCAAAAAAAAAAAAAAAAAAAAAAAATGCAAACTTAGGGAAGAATCCCTGCCCGGGACAAATATTGTGCAGTAGTGGTATTACAGTTACGTATGCCATCTTTTTTTTTTTCCCCTGGTTATAAGCATTTTCTTGATGTTACTAAGAAGGAGAGTGGATGTTTTTGTGTGCATTTTCCAAGTCCATAGTGTTTCTATACAAGTCATGGGCAGGATTGAAATCACAGTCCTCAGAGCTGGAGTGACTTCAGGGCGGCAGTGTCTTGGAAGTGACTCCTTGGGTGGTTTCTGGGAGCTGGACTTGGTGGAAAGGGGCTTCCTGTGGTGTACTCTCTTGCACAGTGGCGTGCTGGTTCCAGGAGGATTTGGTGTCCGAGGGACTGAAGGAAAAATCCAAGCCATCTCCTGGGCTCGGAAACAGAAGAAACCTTTTTTGGGTAAGGAGTAGGAAAGACAAGAAAAAGTGCCCTGTGAGCCTGTCAATAAACAGAGATTATCAAAATCAAACATAAATGCTGTTTCTCCAGATAGCAGCTCAAGTAGAAGCCTTTGGGTTCTGTTTTTGAGAAATTTAAACTCCTCTTTAAAATGAACATTTTAAACTTGAGCTCCATGTAGTTGTCATGGACTTCTGAGAGAATGAAATAGCAATTAGGAAATCTTGTCCATTTACTGAAACCAGCTGTTTGGCAGGACATGTGAGACTGGGTTTTATATCCTTGTTTGGAAAACCAGCTGTCTAATTGGGCAGAGTGATTTTGGATGCTCCCTAGTGCTGTAAATTTTAGTCATATTCAGCATGATCCATTTTAAGTGGGAACTTAATGAGGGAGGATAAGAAAACTTGAATTTTAAAGTACTGAAGAGAATATTATTTATTTCTAAGATCACATGACTCTTCATATACACTTAAACCCCATGTTTGAAATCTGTTACAGATAAAACATAGCAGGGGGTTGCATGTTTATAGCAGAAAATCATGAGAGTTTGTCATTTGAATTCTGTGAACAGTCAGGATACAGAGTCCACCTAGGCGGGTTGGAAATATGGGGACTCCCTTTTCAATGGAGTTTCATTTGCTTTCCCTCCACCTGCAAGGCGTGTGCTTAGGAATGCAGTTGGCAGTGGTTGAATTTTCAAGAAATGTGCTGGGATGGCAAGGTAAGTGTCTACTTAAAAATGTGTTAAATTCTCACTGGAATGTTCCTGGTGCCTGTTGGGCTGTGGGGGCCATGGAGACCAGGCTTGGTTTCCCAGTATCTCATAGCCACAGGGAAGGGAAACTGCTGAATGTATCAACAGAAAACACTCTGCCTTCCTCCAGGAGAACCGCTAGCCACTGCAGGAGGGAGCATGGTGAGCCGCCCGTCTCTGCCCTTGCCCCTTTCTTTGGAGATGCCCACACTCCCATCACCATGGCTGTGGACCCTGAACTGGTGCATGGCAAGGAAACGAACTCTGGCCAGTGTGAGCCTGTACAAATATTATGAACTTGGGCTCTGGAGTTGATTAGACCTGGCCTAAAATTTTTGACCTTTTTTTTTTTTTTAATTTATTTGGATGCTCCGGGTCTTAGGGGATTCCCAGGTGACTCAGTGGTAGAGAACCCACCTACCAATGTGGGAAATGCAGCTTCGATCCCTGGGTCAGGCAGATCCCTTGGAGGAGGAAATGACAACCCACTCCAGTATTCTTGCCTGGAAAATCCCATGGACAGAGGAGCCTGGGGGGCTACAGTCCATGGGGTTGCAAAAGAGTCGGACACGATTGAGCACTCATGCATGCCCTCCGGGTCTTAGTTGCCGCCAGCGGGATCTTTAGTTGCGGTGTGTGGCATCTAGTACCCTGACCAGGGATCAAACCCGGGCCCCCTGCACTGGGAGTGTGGAGTCTTAACCACTGGGTTACCAGGGTTATCACTGTGGGTGATGTTAGGCAAACTACTTCCTTAGCCTTTCTGAGCCTCTGTCTCTGTGTAAAATGGAGGTAGCAGTGGTACCCTGCTTCCCTTGGTGAAGCTGAATGAAATGGTGCCTGTAAATGGTCCCAGCACAGTGCCTGGCAATAGGAGACACTCCCCAATGTTGGCTCGGTGCCTGACTGACTGTATTGCTGCTTCCAGCCCACCAGGACCTCAGCGGCTTCTAGCAGTGGTTTCCTGTCTCTTGGTGTTCTGTGGTTTGAGTGGACTCTGGTTTTCTGCTCAGTGTGGTGGGTCTGAACTCAGCCTGCCCTACTTTCAGCTCTGTCCAGAAGAGGCAGAGGGACAGTCTCATCATGCACCAGTTCAGCCGAGCTTCCTCAGGGCGTGGTGACCACCTGGCTCCCGAAATGACAAGCCCGCTGTGCTACGTAGGCCCTTACCAGGTGTCCCATGGCTGAGCCATCATTGGGGCAGAGGGGACCACACGGGGTATGAATCTTGGGGTACGGTGGCCCCATTGCAGCCACAGGACCCTTATATGTTCTAAGTAGAATCAGCGAAGTGACCTAAGGAATAGAACACAGCCTGGCTTTACCAAATATGAGGGGTTCCCAGTGACCAGCTCACTGTTAGGCCATGTCACAGTTTTTCACAGGAACCCTGAGGAGGCAGCAGCTCGGTTCTGTAGGCGGAATGGTACTGGTGCTGGCTTCTGAGCTCTGTCCTACCACCTACCACTCGAGGTGGCCCTTGGGCGCCCTGAACCCCTGCACAGCCATCACCTCCTGCTGCTGCACCCACTGGGGTCCCCATGTGGGTGGGTGATCTGGAGATGAGCTTCCCTGCATCTGAGACCCGGCCCCAGGTTAGGTCCTGGAGGGGGATGAAACCTCACATGATACACAGAAAGAGCAAGCAGACAGACAGTGCTGGGGACTGGGTTCTTTCTATTTTAGTCTTCAGTGCTTTCCCTTATAGTCAGATGGTAAATTCAGTAAAGGATAGGAAAGATATTTGGGTTTTGAAATCAATTAATTTTTGATTTAGCTCTTGAGTTGGGCAGTTGGGTAGTGCAATGCTGAGGATGGAGGAAACATAGCACATCAAGGAGAAATACTGGGAGAGAGATACAGTCTGAAACAAAAGGTGGAAAAATAGAGACAGTCTAAGAGCCATCAAAAGGATGTACTAAGTAAAGGTTACCAGGTTATGCCATTGATTTGATTTCACCATTTTGTACAGCTTGACTTCCCAGAGAGTTACAGATATAATGGGAAACAATTCACCTTTGTCTGTTGAGTGTCCTTGTATCTTGAAAATGTTATCCCTGGTTTTGGTTCTTGTCACTGAATAACTAAACTGAAGAGGGAATTTGTGACTTAGAGCTTAGGAATGAAACTGTTAAATAATCCGTTTGGTTGTAACTATTTTTGTAACAAAAGTATTTTGGTTTCTCAGATGCCAATTCTACAGAGTTTGACCCCAACACCAATCATCCTGTGGTGAGTCCTGTGTCTGGAGCATCTGGAAGGGTGTGGAAGGGATGTTATGAGCCTGACTGAGGGCTGGAGACAGGAAATGAGACCACTGGGTGCATTCTGGAGAACCCTGGGGACCGGGGCTTTCAGATGTCCCAGCTGGGAAGGAAGAACTTTCTGTCTTCATCACCTGGTTTCTCACTACTCTTCCCAGTTAACCACAGGAAGTTTTTAAAGACAGGTGCCACTCTAGCCAACTGGGGGTGGGGGTAGGGGTTCCTGATTAAGTAATTCCCAGGAACGCTCTAGAACAATATTCACACGAAACACTTATGTGGGCACTTATTATGTACCAGGCACTTGCTCACTTCTTTGTACCACTTAATAATCCCCAGCAACCCTGGGAGATGGGCGTCTTAGTAAAGAACTGCTAGAAGTTAGGACTGATTGACGTGGGCCCAAGCCCCAGGAGGCCGGCATTCCTCGTGTTAAATCTCCCATCAGAGGAATGCGACTCATGGGGGATACACAGTGCCTTCATTCATCACTGAATTCCCAGCCCAGGCGTGACAGGCCTGTTTGATACCGAGGACGTTGTGATAAGCAGAATGGACAAGACTCTTGACCTCAGGGTACTTAAATAGCATTAGGATGTGTTTGTTGACCTGAAATTGAACTTTGCTGATAATCAGACCTCAGGGCGAAAAGAGCAAAGGTTTTGAGACGTGGAACCTTGGAGAGGTGGGGGAGCCCAGAAAAGGTCCTCTCAGGCCTGCAGAAGTTTGCCAAGCTCCTCCCAGTTCCTGGCCAGCCCTATAAGAGCATCCTTTTCCTTTGTGCAGCTGTCAGTCTATTGGAGAAGACGTGTGATAACACGTCTGGTCTCGTATCCACACTACTGTGTCAGTCTCTATTAGAACAGGCCCTTGGGATCCAAAGTCCCAGGGCAGGAATGGCCAGGGCAGGGGGCAGCAATGTCCGGTCCTGTGGCTCAGGAGGACAGGCTGAAGGGTGAAACACTCACCCAGAAAAGGTTTAAGAATGGCCATCAGGAGACATTCTCCTCTGACAAGCATCTCTTCTGAGGAAAGGCTGGACCCCCTCACAGGCTCTCTTTGCTCAGTGCAGGCAGTCTGTCTCCTAACTGAGGCAGGGTTTGGTAGCACATGTTTGTTTTTGGAACATCTCCAGGTCATAGACATGCCGGAACACAACCCTGGTCAGATGGGCGGAACCATGCGGCTGGGCAAGAGGAGAACTCTGTTCCAGACCAAGAACTCCGTCATGAGTAAGAGTGGCCTCCCTCCAGCCCAGCCTGCAGGACGCACGTCCCGGTGCTACAGCCAGGCCGGCATTTGTAGCTTTGTTCTTACTTGGGAAGTTCTTTACTTCTTTCCCAGTGACACTCCTTAGGAAGCACTATAGTAGCCAAAGTTAGCACCATGCTCATGGGTCACAGGCAATACAGCTGGGGATCTGGGGGAACTTTGGGTGTGGACCACTCACCAGAATGAGTTGCTTAGGGGAAATCCATGGCAGTCTTACTTCCCTGTCTTATTAGGTCAAAGCGGATGAAACTGCTGATGTTGAGCACTTGTCTCACAGAAATGGCAGTTTCATCTGGTTTAACCTAAACAGATTTTATTCTAGACTTACTAACATAACGTGAGCTTCCCTGGTGGCTCAGTGGTAAAGGATCTGCCTGCCAGTGCAAGAGATGTGGGTTCAGTCCCTGGGTCGGAAAGATCCCGTGGAGAAGGAAATGGCAACCCACTCCAGTATTCTTGCCAGGGAAATCCCATGGACAGAGGAGCCTGGCTGGGTCCATTAGGGTTGCAAAGAGTCGGATATGACTTAGTGACAAACAACAGCAATAACCAACATGTGCTAAAGATTTAGGGGAAATTTAAGAACTACTGGATTGAATTTTCTTTTTCTTCCACTGGGAAAACTCTGCCATTGTTGGCAGAGCATCTATATATCTGTCCGGGGTTTGGCGGCAGCATAATTTGAGTCACTTGAGTTAGGTGGTCATCCAGTCTTCTGGCTCTAAGGTCCTGTGGTTTGGGCGTCTCACTTGGCTCTGGGAATCCACCTGTTGGCAAATGCCACTCTTGTTCCCGGCGAACAGCAGGCGCTGGGTAACCTTAGTGGCTCTGACTTAACCCTGGTGCCTCTGTAGTCACATGTGAGGGGTGGTGGTGAAAGTCTGTTTCTGTTACAGTTTTTCTTGGTTGCAGAGAATCAAAAGCCCAAGAATTCATCTGAATTGTTCTGCTAGAGCAGGCAGTGGGGATTGGCAGCAAAGTCACAGAAATAACCTTCAAAGGGCCTGGCTGTGTAGATGAGAATAGGCAACCTGGGCGGCAGGATGTGGGGTGAATAGATGCCTTTGTGAAATCAGGGTCCTTCATGTCACGTGGGTTTTTTCCCAGGGAAACTCTACGGAGATCCAGATTACCTGGAAGAGAGGCACCGCCACAGGTTTGAGGTGAGGATGTGAGCTTTGAGACCTTTGACGTTTTCTCCTTTCTGTTACTCTGGAAACACAGCTGAGAGCCCAGCAAAACTGTTCTTCATGCTTCACAGGTGAATCCAGTCTTGAAAAAGTGTTTGGAGGAGCAAGGCTTGAAGTTTGTTGGCCAAGATGTTGAAGGAGAGAGAATGGAAATTGTGGAGTTGGAAGGTGCTTGCTTGGGCAGTTGTGTTTAGTGGAAAACTCAGGTTTTCTTGGCATGTGGGGAAAACACAGTAATATAAATCGTTGCCCTTGACCTCACCAGATCCGGCAGCCGTGCCGCCTGGGCAGGGGAGGGCTCTTGGGGACAAGGTTCTAGAGCCCTGGGGGACTCGGCCTCCCACCAGGGCCTTCCCTGGCAGCTGCTTCCTCTGGCTTCAGGTCCTCGTTCTCCAGAATGAGACCTCGGACTTGGTACCTGAGTCTAATCTCGCATGACCTGCAGGACTCAGTCCTGTTCAAGTCAGGGAGCCGGGGTGTGGGGGTGAGGATTGGGATGGCAGAACCCGGAGGGGAGGGCTCACCTTTGTCTGCAGGTGGAGGGCGTCACATCTCCCGTGCTTTGTGATTGCCTCTACCCAGGCTCCAGATGAGTTGTTTTCAGATCATTTTAGGGTGTGCAGAAATGTGGATCACTCAAGATTTTTTTCCCTCTTCCACATCTTATTGGACACACGGTGAAGCTGGCTCTTCTGCACTTCTGTTTCAGATCATCCCTTTTTTGTCGGAGTGCAGTATCACCCTGAGTTTCTGTCCAGACCTATCAAGCCTTCCCCACCGTACTTTGGTCTCCTCCTGGCCTCCGTGGGGAGGCTTCCGCATTACCTCCAGAAAGGCTGCAGGCTCTCACCCAGGTGAGGTCACGCTCCCCAAGTCCCTTGGGAGGTCACTGACTCCTTACAGAGAGCCATCCCCACACCATCGGTGATGAGCAAAGCCACAGGACCAGGGAGCCTTGCTGGGACCCTGCTTCTCATGCCGACACACAAGTGTCCTCTCCTTCCTTGGGGTTTTCTCAGGCTGCTTCTGTGCCGCCCCTGGCCTTGCCCCCCAGCATGGTGGCCACGTCCCCACTCTGTAGTGCCTGGGCTCCAGGATCCCATCTCGGGCTCTGTGGCCCGTGGGGAACTGTGTTTTTTTCACAGGGAGGTGGTGGTGGGGGGAATGCCTCAGCCACAGCCCGAGGGGATTTCATGTGCCACTGCTGTGTTTGTCAGGAACAACTCTGTCTTGGTGGGTCCCTAACCATCATGACTGAGATATAAAGCAAATGTATATCTTTCATAACAAGAAGAAAATCCCTCTGCAGCTTTCTGCTAAATATATAACGTCTGTGATTTCTGCTGTGAGCAGACAAGCATCCCTGTGGGTGCCATAGTGGCTGCAGAATCAGGGAAGTAAAGCGAGTGTTTGGTGGGAGCCGATGAATAAACCATCTGAATTCTACAGGGACACCTACAGTGACAGAAGTGGAAGCAGCTCCCCTGACTCTGAAATCACTGAACTGAAGTTTCCCTCAATAAATCATGACTGATGGTAACAACGTAAGTGATACTTTGAAGGTTGTTTTGTTTTGAATGGTGGTGACACCAGAATTATAAGAGCATCCGTGAAAGTTTAGTGTTGAAAGATTGTATCTGCCAGAGGATGTACGTGGTCAGGTCACTGTGGGGATCAAACGGGTGAGGACGCGGCCCCCCACAGTTAGAGTGCATCTACCCAGCCTGCTCTGGGGACTCCAGTGGGGGCGACACCAGGCACGGGGCAGTTGTCGTCTTGCTGATTACTGCTTTCAGGTGCCAATCTGACCTAATCTGGGGGAACGGGATTCTTAGAGCCATGTTATTTCATGTAGCCATAAATTTGGAGATCTTGAAGGAGGTGACAGGCGTGACAACATGGTGTCATTTCTGCAGGCCCTCAAGTTTTCACCAGGAAGTGCTTTAAAACCAAAACATACAACACTTTTGTGTTGATTGCTTATTCTGGAAATCCATTAAAATCAGAGCAGTTATTGAACTAACTTGGAATGTTTGGCTTTTGTGACCAGTTGGCAAGTTTTTATAAAGTGCAGTAACTGTGGGCAGCTGCCGAGAATTGTATAAAATCCCATGAAGCTAACTGCATGAACGCTCGGCAGAAATACCTGCTCAGAGGGGGCTGGGGTGTCAGCCGGGTGTCTGGGGGGTCTAAAGGAGAACCAGGGGTGTGCAGGGAGACCCCCACAGGGAAGCTGAGATCCTGCCTCAGGCATGGGAAGGTGGCCTCCCCGAGTCCTGCACACCTTGCCTTCCCCATCAGGGGACCTCTCCACTGGCAGGTGTGGTCCCATGGGCACGTGGTCGTGCTGAGCAGCCACTTGGCCTGTGATGACTGTAGCCACGTGGGCAGGCGTGAGGAGGAGGTCCGAATCAGGAGGGGGGCAGTTGGCTGCCTTCTCTGCCAGGTGAGCATTTAGACCCCATGTATTCATTAATCTTCGCCAGATAGTTTGCTGTAGGCAATCTGATCATCTAAGTAGCTGCCCTGGAAAGAAAGGAGCCTTTGTAACGGTATCTGGTCAGTTACAGGGAGTTTCTAACTGTCTCCCCAAGTGGGGATCCCCTGTGAATGGCATCGTGAGAAGGCTGGCGCGGTGGAAAAGCCTGCTTGTGTCGGGGCAGAGGTGGAGTCCATGTGATTCCGTAGGAATCCGAAATTTAGCTTCTCATGATTCAAGTTAGGCTCCTAATACTTGTCCTTAATGAAAACCAGGCAGTTTACCACAGCAGCTGGCTACAGATCCTCACTTTTCTATTTTAACATGCATCCTATAATTAATTGCTCAATTTTTTTTTTTTTAAACAGGGATAATTCTTGAAGAGAGCCTTTGGACTTCAAGAGTTTACAGCTTTGATTTTACACTCAGCTTTTGACACTTCCTTTAAATTATGTTTTTATTAAGATTATTTTATTATGGGGGAAGGGATCCGGGGAGACTCTGTGACTTGATGTCCTGCCGTGTGTACCGGCTCCCACACGGTCACGTGCTCTCCTCTGCGATCCTGCAGTCTCGGATGAGAGGCAGGACGTCGGGGCGGAGTGGGTGAGGGCCAGGCGCTGGGGGAGCCCTCGGTCACAGAGCCCCTGCGGCCACCCCGCGTCACTGTGGCTTCGCGCGGGCAGCTGTTCCTTCCCCTGAGGCTGTTAATACGGGGTGTGCCATGTTGCCTGGTAAGTGCGGAGGGGCGAGTCCAGCTGTGCTCACGACCCGGTGCCAGGACCCAAGGGCAGCCCTTGCCACGAGGAAGAGGGAAACCCGAGACAGAGCGTCGGCTCGGCCCTGCGCTGGGGATTCTCTGTGGCAGCCACGGCTGGGATTTGCTCAGGACAGTCCGTTTGCATCACACGAGACGGCGAGAACTCTGTGTCTCCCTGAAATCTGAGTGTGTTGAATCCCTGTCCTCGGGCCGCGAGTCCCCGCCAGAATCACTCCTTGCATCAAGGGGTCACTTAACAAAGAACAGAGGATCTTTTTGGGACACTCCCTCTAAACCCCTCTCTTATGTAGACAGCTTTGCTCAAGGGGACTGTCTCCTTCCAGAATGGTGTTACTCCGGTTGGAATGCAATATGAAAAGCTATTTTCTTAATGTGGTGTAACAACAGGCGGAGCTGTGTGCCTGTTATATCCTGGCTGGACTCGGTGTATACTCTAACTTAAGAAATAAATAATGCAGAGCAAGAGACACACCTTGTCTGTCATTCTCTTCATGTCATGGCCAGATGGGAGCTGTCGGAGCACAGTGCCGGCCCGCGTGTGACCCCTGAACTCTCGGTGCAGGCTCTGCCCCCAGGGGGCAGCCTGAGGTGGGGGATCTGATAGGTTTGTTTAAAAACTGAGGGGAGCCTAATAGGAACCAGAATTTCCCCCAAAGACTTCAAATTTAGGTTCGGCCAGTCCCTCTGCTGGGTGTGGACCAGCAGCCGCCTGCCTGTCTCATCCGCCCTGGCCTTCTGAGTGCGGGTCATCATCCTTTGGGTTCTCCTCCAAAGTGAAATTCGAGACCCTGAATCCATGCTCCTCATGGCACATTGGTGACGCTGGGACCACCCACCCGCCCTCTAGCTGCCAAGCACACTTGCTTGTGAGCCGGCTCTTCTGCAGTGTGTCTGAGGCCGAGGCCAGGGCTCAGGCTGGGCTGCTCATCAGTGGTCAGTAGCCTTTGCTTGTTGATGTTGGGGGTTGGGAGAAAAATGCTTCTCACCATTTGGCCTGGTTCCTCCATCAGGGAGACCCAGGAAGGAGGCAGGCTCCCTCTTGTCTTCCACTCGCTAGTCCAAGGCCACCATCACGGCGGAGGCCTAGAGGCCTGTGTGGGAGCACCGCCCCCTGGCCCAGGCCAACCCAGCTGCCTCTGTCTGTCGGAGAGTCTCACGGCCTCTTCACTTACAGAGGACTCCAAACTGGTTTGGGAACTCTGAGTGTGGCTGACTGGGTGAATTCTGACCCCTTCTCCCGTCTGGTGGTCCCGTCAGTCTTCAGTCATTTTTATAAGAGCCAGTCCCCAGACTAAGGGCTCTGATGCCTGTTGGTGACAGCAGCTCCCTACAACAGTGGTTGGTGGGCAGTTTGCAAAACCTCGTGGGGTTTGTGCCCTCCCTTGCTTTGAGTGGGCCTCTGCTGGCCAGTTAAGTGCTGCCTGCTTACATAACCTAGAAAAAGGAGCCCCAGAATGACTTTCCGGGGCCCGCCAGCCCCACTAGGATGGTACCAGGGCCGAGGGCTGTAGTGGAGACGGCACAGGAGGGTTGCCTTCACGCCTGGCGTGGGTCGCCCAGTGCCCAGGACTTCTCCTTGGGGAGGGAGCCAGGCCCACTCCCTGTCCCCACTCCCTGTCCTTCTCTTCATCCCTGGTGATCTGGGCAGGGTCTGCCTTCATGGAGCACCCCTGAGGGCCGTGTTGCTCTTGATGAGATGGGGAGCTCTTGGAAGATTTTGAATCCAAGCATGGCATGATCAGACCTTGGCTTTGCAGTGTCCCTGGCTCTGCTGGTGGAGATGGCAGGGGAAACAGCCAGAGCAGGAATCCTCTCTGGTGGCTGGAGGGTGCATGGAGTAGAAGTCAGACGTCTCCTTCCTGTGCAGGTGCTGGAGAGAATCAGGGCACCAGCTGCCCTGTCTACTGTCCTGTAGATTTGTCCTAAGGTACCTGCTCTTCAGGGCTTCCCTGGCAGCTCAGCTGGTAAAGAATCTGCCTGCAATGCAGGAGGCCTGGGTTCAATCCCTCGGTTGGGAAGATCCCCTGGAGGAGGGCATGACAACCCACTCCAGTATTCTTGCCTGGAGAATCCCCACAGACAGAGGAGCCTGGCAGGAGCGCTACAGTCCATGGGCCGCAGAGTCAAGACACGACTAAGCACAGCACCCGGTCTTCAAGCTGAGATGGACTGGACCCCAACCATCCAGACTCCTTTCCTCACAGCTCTGTGTGGGAAGGAGCCCAGGGCTGGCTCAGTCTCTTGGACAGAGGTGGGCTGGGCATGGGACTCATGACCAAGTTGCATCCAACCAGCCAAATGTTCTAGAAAGAATCATTCTGGCCTGGGTGCATGTAATTAAAGAGCTTTTAGTCCCAAATTCCAGCAAGCCAGGGGAGGGGCTGCAGGGTGGTCTCTCAGCTCTGTAACTGCAGTTAGCCATGTGCCACCATCTGCAGGGGGGCTTTCCCAAGACAAATCCTTTTCTGGCCCTGCCTAGCCGTTGGGAGTTCAGTTCCCAGCCAGGGCTACCTGAGCCTTTCAGGGAGAAGGACAGTCCCTGCCAGCCCAGCCCAGGGAGTACACTGGCCCAGTTCTTTCTGAAAGTAAGGCCCCTTGGGGTGGGATTTTGGGGGAGGGCTCATTCTAAGAGCAGTTTCTTAGCTACACAGCCCAGGGTCTGCTCAGGACTGACATGTGGGGACCAGCCTGTGTGCACGGTGTCGTAGGAGCCAGAAAGTGCAGTGTTCCCGTCCACCTCTGAGCAGCCCAGACTGGTTTTATTGGGGGGACCTGGGGTCAAGCAGGAAAGCCCTGCATGTTCCAGGTGGGGTGCTGGGCCCTCACAAGACGCAGCAGGTGCAGGAGACAGGCCTGTGCTGCTGCTGCTGCAGTTGCTGCTGGAGCTGTTCCTTCTCGGCTGTCAGCACCTGCAGCCTGTCCTCCAGCTTGCTCAGCTCGGCCATCCACTTCTGAGGGGACACGGGAGAAGCCAGGTCTGAGCTGACGATGGCTGAGAACCGGGGATGGGATGGCGGCAAGGCCTAGAGAGCCGGGGAGTGGCGGCGGGGTGGGGGTGGTGGGGCGGTGCCTGCTCCAGGCCACTGGGCACCACCCTGGGCCTGGTCGGTGGAGAAGCCAGGTCCCCTGACCAAGGCAGCCCTGGGGTCTTGGGCACAGTCCTGCCAGCCTCCTAGACTCTGGGGTGACTTGTCCTCCGCAGCCTCTCGCCCAGTCCTTCTGTCAGCCCTGGTCCTCTTCTGTTTTTGTGTTGCCTGATGTTCCCCTCTTGAGAAAGCTTTTCTCTGGGGCTGCGTCCAGCACTCACTTAAGCACTCACCCCCAGCTTAAGGACCTGCCCCCAGTGTGGTACACAGTTCTCCGGTTTGTCTTAAAGCTTTGACACTGTGCTCCCTGCTCCTCCAGTTACACTGCAGAGGAACCTGGGATGCAATGGGCTTGTCGCTCCCCGTGGGGGCACCGGTGGGGAACCTGACGGCCCCAGGGCTGCCTGGTGAATGGCTGAGGAGCCCCCTCCCCGCCTGGCCGGCCTGGGCCACCCACCTGCCTGCACCACTCCTGGATGGCGCGGACGGACAGCGGGCCCTGAATGCTCCCGTCCCGCCGCAGGAACACGTCCCCCTGGTCGGTCTCGTAGAGCTGCGGCTCGGCCTGGGCCTTGGGGGCCTGCACGCTCAGGCGGATCACCTTGGGAAGGGCAATGGCAGCTCTGCGGGCACCGCACCGGAAAGCGTGCGGCAGCCCCGTCGTCGGTCCTGCCTCGCTGGCTCCCGGGCAGCCTGGGGGCAGGGCTCACCTTGAGGGGGGTGCCCGTGGTGGAGCCGCTGACCACGGGGATGAAGGTGAGCTTGTAGGCGTCAGGGAAGACCTGGGGCTTGAAGCCCTGCAGGACGGAGTCCACCAGCAGGCGCACGCGATCCTCGTCGCGGTGGCTGCAGCGGATGCCCTGCACCAGGCCGCTGTCCTCCACGCCCACCAGCAGGCTGCCGCCCTCACTGTTGAGGAAGGCGCACACGTAGCGCCGCAGATGGTGCTTGAAGGCCTGGCTCAGGTACTCGCCGCCGCCGCGCTTGAACTCCAGGTTGCGCGTCTCGTTGCCCAGAAAGGCGCCCTGGAACAGGCGCTCCTGGCCCAGGATGCCCTGGTGCGTGATGGCGCTGTCTGAGCGCGTGCCGCTGGGCCAGCTGGGGGAGACTCGTTGCGGGCCCAGTGCCCGGGTAGGAAGGGCTTGGGCCGGCCTGGCTCGCTGAGGGCTGGAGCCCAGAACCGGGCCGGGGCTGGGGCCACAGTCCTCCTCCTGCTGGAGTGGGGGTGGGGGCGAGGGCAGGGTGTATGCTCCTGGCAAGAGTTAGGAGCCAACCCGGAGGGACAGGCGGCCAGAACCCCCACCTCCACCCTCCCCGCACCCACCCAAGCCACCCTGGCCCAGCCCAGCCCAGCTTAGCCCACACAGGGCATCCTGATGCCCCTCCCGCGCGGAGGGATCTAATTCTGCCCACCATGCTGGGGCCCATGTGGAAAACCCTGTGAATCAAGGGTTTGAAGCAACTAGTGCTCCGCCCTCTTCCCAGGTGAACTATGGGAGGCTTGTGGGGGGAGCTCTCCTTTCCAGGGAGCTGGGGCACCTGCAGCCACTCTCTGCCCACTTGGGTTTTGCGTTAGCCTCGGAGACACAGGGTTGGACCATTCTGGAAGATGCCTCAGCGCCCTGAGGTCCCCTGTGACACAGCTGCAGGTCTCTGAATTGAGAGGGCCTCCCAAAGATCCCACCCCCTTCCTAATCTCCCTGAAAGCCTGGCTGATCCAGTCCTGAATCTCTCCCATCCCTGGGCCTCCCCGAGTCCCTTCCATGGTTTCTGCTCTGTGTGAGGGCTCTGGGAGGAGCCTGCTCAGGGTCGCTGCCCTGGTCTAGGTCTCACTGTCAGACTGCCTGCCTCCAGGTTCTCCTCGTCCTATCCATTCTATCGCTGACCCCAGATACAAGTCCCACAGTCACTCTGTCCTGAAAACCTTTCCCTGGTTCCCTGCTGCCTTCCAGCCTCCAAGAGAGGCTTCCAGGGCTGGGAGCTCAGTGCGGGCTGGGATGTGGTGATGAGAGTCAGTCCCAGCCCTTCCAGCAGCTCCCAGAGAAGACAAGCTTAGCAGAGACTTGAGAGAAGCCTCAACTGTCATATAAATGTGCCATCAGGCCACAGGTCTTGAAATGTAAGCCCATTTAGCTCTGCAACAGTTTCAATGTCATGGAGCCTTCATCCAGAAGGAAATTCAGTTCAAGAATTCAAAATTCAATTCAAGAAGGAGGACAATTCAAGATCACCAGCCTACCACCACCTCAAAAGTGAGTTGACTATTCCCTCTTCCCCCACAAAAACCCACTTTTGCTGGCACTGGTGTAATCTCACAGCCCTCCCCTCCGGCTTGATTTTCTTTGTCAGTCCCCCCAGGCAGCCACCGGCCATCCTGCCAATGCCGCCACCCTCACCTGGCCCCTGGTATGTGCCCCATCCCTCTGCTAGGGATGTCCTTCCACGGAGTTGGTCCCATTGCCTAAGCCCCAGCCTGGGTTTTACTCCCTGGGGAATCTGTCCTCAGAGATCAGTGAGAACCTTCCTGGGTCCTCCTCCTGCTCTAGGCTGCCTCCCCATCTACCGCCCCGGGAGGGTCTGACTCTGCTCATAGAAGCAGGGCTCCCTGAGGGCAGGGTCCAGCCCTGCTCTCCGCTGCGCTGCCTGCTGGAGCAGGTGTCTGTCAACTGAATGGATGACAAGGTCAGCCAAGAAGCCTCAGCCAAGAAGGTCAGGACCCCTATATATGCTTGGGCCTGGCCTGGCCGGACCCACATGCTGGCTGTAGATGGGTGCAGGGAGGGTCTGCTACTCAGGCCTTCTTTTACCTGCTTCCAGGCTTGAGGCAAGCTCCAAGGGTCAGTGTCCCTCTGGGACCAAGATTGCCAATTTGTCACCAGTTCCTTGAAGACACCCCTCATGCCCACCGGGCAAGGCCATTCACATCCAGACCTCTCCCGAGGGAGGCTCTGGGGCTGGCGGGCTGCCTGCTGGGGGCAGCCTGGCTTACCTCTCGGCGGTTTGAAGGCTCCCGGCCATCACCTAGCACCAGCTCCTTCCCGCGGGCCACCAGTTCCTTGATGATCTGGTGCTGCCCCCAGGCCGTGTGCAGGCGCCGGGTCAGGGAGGCCAGGGTGTCCTTGGGGGTGGCCACCTGCACCAGCGCGTAGGCCTGGCGTGGCTGCCGCACGACCTCGATGTGCTCTCGCGCCACAGGCAGCTCGAGCTGCTCCAGGGCGTCTCTCAGCAGGCAGGTGAGGACCGGCACGGAGAACTGGGGGTTCAGGTGGCCCACGTAGAGGACATGCCTGCTGGGAGCTGCCTCGGCACCCGAGTCCTCAGGGGGATCTTCTGGGGGAAGCTCCCGCAGGGGCTGCTTGCCTGGGGGCTCCATGGCGGGGGTGGAGGGGCCTCCTCTGGAGGGGCTTCTAGGATTCCTCACTGCTGGCTGCTCCTCCCAGGGCCCTGGGCTCTCAGCCTGGCCCGGGGCCTCCCAGGGGACTCGGGGGGGCCGAGGCTCCAGGAAGGTTCAGAGATGGAGAGGGGCTGAGGAGGGCCAGAGAGAGAGAGGGTGGGCAGAGGGCCAGCAGGAGGGGCCCTGCCACCCACCCAAGGCCTAGGACAGGGAAGAGGGGAGTCAGAGCTGAGCCAGCCAACAGAGCGTGTGCGCCTGCTGCTGCATTTCCACAGAAGGGAAGACTGAGGGGATACGACCAAAGGGGGCAGAGGCAGAACTCAGGTCTCTGAAGGGCCCCCATATCCTGTCATTGGCCCCAGCGGGCCCGTCTTCCCTCAGGAAGCCCAAGGCTGGGGCGTTAACCCAGGGCTCTGAGGATTAGTCACAGACCCCTAGGCTTCTTGCCTACTCTGAAGCTGGTGTGAGCCCAGCAGAGGCTCTGAAGGGGTCAGGCTGGGTCAGAGGGTTAAGAGAGAGGTTCTTATGCTTTGGGTATACTGATGGAAGCTATGGCCCCTCACAGAACAACAGCATTTGCATATATACATATAAGGAGGCTTGTCTAGACCAAATCCTCTGGTTTGGGTCCAGGGAGCAGAAGCGAGGAAGGGTCAGTGCTGGGCCCTTGGGTCCGTCCCCCACCACCTCTCACTAGGCCAGGGACCCTGCTCCTGAGCTGTGCACACACCAGCCCCTCCACTCACCCACACACACCCAGCCTCCGGTCTCTGTGGCAGGTACGGCTGGCCTGCATCTTTTCAGATTGGATCCTTAAGGCAGTCAGGGTCTGGGGGCCACCACTGCTGGAGTGGGGACATTCAGGGCAAACGGGAATAGGGGGAAGAGGAAGGCCTATGACCCTCATGTCCTGATGGTTCCTGGGGGAGCGTGGGAGGTGCCAGCCCTCAGCTCCCACAGACCCCTGACCCCTGGCCAGCAGCTCCCCAGGGTGCTTAGAGGCTTGGCTCAGGAGGGGGAGCTAGGGCTGTGGGAAGTGGGCGGGGCCTGTGCATCCACCTCTGTGAGCTCAGGAGAGTTGACAATGCCTCCAGCAGGCAGGCCATGAAGGGGATCAGGAACACTTCTCCCTGATGCCACACCCCCATGTAGACAGATGTCCCATGCAGCTTGGTGGGGGGCTCCTTCCAGACAGCTTCTAGAATCCAGGGGCTAAAGACACACTTCCTCCCTCTGCCAGGTCTCTCCAGGCCCTCGTGCTCACACCAGGCCTCACCTCCCACCTCAGTTACCAATCCCAGGCTCCCTGAGCAGGGATCAGAATGCAGTTGGTTCCAGGGCTACAGAGATGGTTCCTGTCCTGAAGAGCCCTGAGAAATAGGTCAAGCATTGCCATCTCTTGAAGGACAGGGTTGCCACCTGCTCTTTGACAGGTACCAGGATTCGGGTGATACACGGTCTTTATTAATGCAGAAATCTGTTCTTGGGTGGGTGGGGGCTGTGACAGTGCTTTTCATTATGCAGATGTAGGCAGCACTTTCCCACTGCTTCTGCAAGCCCTGATGGGGTGCAGGGCAGAGGGTGGTGTCCAAGGGCAGATGCAAAGGTTGACCTCCTCTTCTGAGCAGCCGGTTCTGAAGATGCGAATGAATTTGTATTTCCCTGCGGGACTGAGGCAGAAGCTTGGGTGGGGAACCTGAGCAAGGCAACTGTGGTGTGGGGGCAAGGAAGAGGCCCCAGGGCCTGCGAGGTGGTACTGTGAGGCTCTGGGGAGGGACCCTGCAGCCAGTTCTGCCTGGCCTCTGAATCCATGCCTGGCCTCTGAATCCATGCCTGGCCTCTGCATCCATGCCGAGAATTATGGGGTGACAGCTCTAAGCTCTCCGGGGTCGTCCTCTTCAGGCCTTTCTAGACTCTGCCATCATGAGCTGTTCTCACAGAAAGCATACAAGGGGGGCTGTGGCTGATTCTAGGCTGTTAACTCAAGCCATGTTGAATTAGGCAGAGACTGACAGCGTGCCAGGAAAGGTGCCCTGACAGATGAGACATGTACCAGAGAACAAACGTGAACGTAACATCCTTCTCCAGGGGCCTCACTATCAACCAGCTGTTTGGCATGAAATTTCCCAGACAGATTTCAGTGCCAAATCTTTCCCCATTCTTACTGGAAATCTCTTTAAATGATTGTATTACATATTTCCCTGGGCTCTGTTAACCTTATGTGAGTTGAACATCAGTTCCATCTTTTTTTGGCCAGGGGGATAAAAACTTTCATTGTAAGCACTAAATACATTTGCAAAACAATATTTTAAATACTGAAATTCACTGCAGTGTAACTGGGTTATTTACAGCACCCCAGGCTTTGTAAGAGCTAGGTGGTGGCAGACGTGAGTTCAGTGTTGTGGAACAAGCAGCTCCTTTCAGTTCTCCTACTGGATGTCTGTGACCTTACTGACAACCCTCCTTGGCACCGGAGGTAAAAGACTTCTTGAATTTAAATTTAAGAATGTGAGGTGGGCCCAAAGATGAGGGGCAGAGGGAGGCAGTAGATAGGGCTCTTCTCACATTATGTGGAGAGTGTCCACTGGGTGGCGCCCGTGGCTGGGATCCCTGACACCACAAAAGCATGGGTGTCTGAGCAAGCTGCCTAGGAACCCCAGCTGAGGGGCAGGGGCTGGGGTGCGGGAGGGGACTGAGCTCAGCCTTGTGCTGGAGAGGACAGGATGCCAGGAGAGCAAACTCTGGGACTCAGGGGAGGGCAGGGTGTAGACAGATGCAGCCTTCGCCCTTTGGCCCCAGGAACACTCCAGTCTGCCTTGACTCCTCCCTCGCGTACCAGTGGCTGGTGCATTCCTGCCCGCCCTCTGACAGGGTCGGCCCCACAGCCCAAAGGTATCTCGGCTCTGGTGCCTATACCCTGGGACCTACTGGCCGCTGGCCTCCAGAACCATCCTCAGCGGCTTTGGTTGTTGCAGGCCAAGTACAAATACATAATTCTCTCACTTGGCCTGCAGGCTTCCAGCTGTGGAGCGTCCCTGGTGGGATGGGGTGCCTTGGGCCCTTAAGTTAAAGGAGACTGCAAAAAGCAGAGGGATGATAGGGGGAGGAGAGAGTGTCTGGAGTCCCTCAAGCAGAGAACGATTTCCACTCTTTCAGCCTTGGTTGTAAAGATGAGCGACAAGCCCCCTGTGCCTCTTCTGAGAAGGGGTCATGGCACTGCGCGTGAGGGCAGAAACAGTGTGTCTACCGGGCCCACCAATGCCACAGCCCAGAGATAGGGCCTCAGGCTGTTCCACAGAACACCAAAGCGGGTGGTGCGGACACTTCTGCTCAGGACTCATGGCCTGGGCAAGACAGAGCAGAGCCCAGGAACGCAGGCTGTGATGTGGGTGGCAGCTGGGGAGTGGGACAGGGCATAGAGGTTCTCGGAGTCAGCACTAAGCGGGGCTGGACTCTTCTCTCCTGAAGAGCCTGCGTTTTCCTTTCCTCATGTTACTCAGCACCGGAGTCAACGTCTCTCCTTGTCGTGGCGATGAGGGTGGGCATGGGAAGCTGCTTTCGGGAGGTCTCTGTGCTCAGTCTCGCTTTCCCATATGCCTTCCTGCTCCATGGGTGGCTGTGCTGTCGGGGTCAGTGTTGTGGTCTCACTTGCCAGAGACCGCTTCAGCTTCTTTGGATGACTGGGTCACTATTAGAAAGCTTGGCTTTGTGAAATAGTTTCAAAAGTTTAGGCTGGGTTTCTTGGTTGTCATTTCTCTTAAATGAAATTCAATTCTGACCCTAGAGGCTAGGGCAGCACAAGTGAAAGGGTAACAAATCCTCTCTCCTCCTGCAGAATATGACATTTGGTTACCTTTCTGGTTCTGTTCCCTTGGCAACCAGATAAAAATGGAATGTCGACCATTTCAAGGAAATAGTGCTTATAGTAGAACTGCCCCCTGGCTGTAAGGCACCTGGTCTAGGAGTGCAGCGTATGGGCTGTACACATCCTCCTGCGGGGCTTCCTAAGGGCCGGGACTCAGGAGGCACGTCCTGCCCAGGGACCTGGAAGCTGTGCCGATGGCACTGGGGAGTCACTGGCTGCCCTGGGGCGTGATGCTTCTAAGCCAAGGTGAGCCCCACTTCTCCCTGCCATGTCTTACCCCCTTACACCTAAGCTGCAGCCTGCGCAACAAATGACAGTCCTGGGTGACTGTGGGCTCTGTAATGACTACCCCACTGAAAAGGCCTGCTTCTTATCATCCTACTGGCAGTAGTTGTGGTCTGATAGTCTTCAAAGTGACTGCCTACAAAGGCCCGGCCGGAGCCTGTGTAGTCTGCATGGTGAGTGGGATCTAAGACAAAAGCCACCTGGTGGGTGTTGCAGGCAGTATGATGTCTCACACCCTTCATTAGCTATGGAATTTGGGGCAAATAACTCCACCTCTCTAAGCTTCAGTTTCCTCATCTTTAACATGGGGGAATACGGTGGCTATCTCTGAGATGTAGTGAGGTTTAAGAGAGCTAATGTACATAAATAACTTAGCATAAGAAGTCCTTAAATAGTGTTCCCTGATGAGCTGATAAGGGGCAGGGTGGGTGGGAACCAGTTTGCTCCACAAGCGAGGACTGGCAGCATGTCTGGCCTGCCTGCATATGCTGGTGTTACTCTCACATTCAAAAGTTCATCATCAGGGCCCAGGAAGGCCCTCTTTGGAAGTACCCTGAATGAACTGTAAAGCCCACTGAACACAGGCCTGGGAATCTGTGGAAAATGGGCTTATTCTGGTTCAGCAGCCCTGACCCTGACTGCTGCAGGGGGCCCAAGGTTATAATCTCACAGTGGCCAACTGGAAAAGACCATGTTGGAACCAGTCACTGGTGAGGGCTGGTATGATCCTTACAAGTCTTATCTAACCCCCCCATAGCCAAAGGGGCCTAAAGACAGGAAAGGACCCACCCAAAGCATCACAAAAAATAGCTGCACTGGCTGGGACCTTGGCCTTGGAGTCAGATTACTTGGTTTTAAATGCCTACTTTGGCAGTTCCTGCCCACATGATCAGAGCTTAAGTTTCCTCATCTATAAAGTGGGTCTGCAGCGAAGATTTGGAGAAGGCAATGGCAAGCCACTCCATACTCTTGCCTGGACAATCCCATGGACGGAGGAGCCTGGTAGGCTGCGGTCCATGGGGTTGCTAAGAGTTGGACATGACTGAACGTCTTCACTTTCACTTTTCACTTTCATGCATTGGAGAAGGAAATGGCAACCCACTCCAGTGTTCTTGCCTGGAGAATCCCAGGGACAGGGGAGCCTGGTGGGCTGCCATCTGTGGGGTCGCACAGAGTTGGACACGACTGAAGCGACTTAGCAGCAGCAGCAGCTGTGAAAATTAAATGGGGTCATTCTAATTCACACAGAGCAGTGTGTGGGGTATACAATGATGTGTTCCTCTTATCAGGTACCCTGCACTGTGCTATGGCCCCTTTATAAACAGGGAGGGGCTGGACTGGAGTTCCTGGCCCCTAGACAGCACAAGGGGTACCCTGCAGGCCAGGCTAGCCTGCATCTCCCCACCCCTGCCACGGAGGGTTGCTGCAGCTGCTGACCCCAACACTGTCCCTTCTGCTCGGGGCTCCCAGGGCTGCCGTGCTCGTTGCTGTCTGCCGCACCAGGGCAAAGCCCTTTGAGGGCAGAGCATGGACGGCACACTGGCTCCCCAGGGGCTACCAAGGAGGGGCCCCAGCGGGCCTCTGGCAGACAGCCTGTTCTTTAGGGACTGCTGGAGTCACATGAACTCAGGGAGCATCCTGCCCAAGTTTCCTCATAAATAAAAACAAGGAGCTACGACAAAGGCAAGGGGAGTGACCTGCCCTTTGGAGGCATACTGATTTCTCTGGCGACTGATTGCAAAGACACTGGCATCTATATGGTTTTTTATTTATAAACAAATTGACATAAAATAAGTCCAGATGGCAGCGGGGGCAGCTGGACTGCTGACCTGCTTACAAAAGAAGCCTGTGGACAGCGGAGTGGGTGCAACCAGACTCCAGCCTAGAGACCGTTCTCTCCCATCCATCTTAGGGCCTTCTTGGCTTAAAACACTGGGCCCAACCTTCTTTGGCAGCAATTCTGGCCAGGGCAAGGAGCTGTGGCGGGGCAGTGCAGGGTAGGAACTCCTGTTCCCACAGAGGAGGCCGGGGCTGCAGAGGCCTGGTGGAGGGAGAGAGGGGAGACGACAGGGACCCTCTCCTCCCTGTGCTGAATGACGTGGTCAAGGCTTGGTCGGTCTGTCCATCCCAAGGAGAAAGTGCCTGGGTAATGTCCTCTGAGAAGGGGCCACAGCTCTCTGGAGAGGGCCTGTGTGGGGCCAGGGCAGTGTGGTCGCCCTCCTCCTGAAACCAGTGTCTGGAGCAAGAGGGGTATGAACTGGAGGGCTTGCCCAAGTGCCAGAAACAATAAATTAATGATAAGAAAAGATCTCTTTTTAAAAAAGGTAGAGGTTTGCACCATGAGTTTGGGATCTGTGGATCTCGTGAGGAGAAGGCAGGAGCTGTGGGAGCCACACCACCAGGCCGAACCCGGTGCGAGTGTTGCTTCAGGGCCCCATCTTTCGAGACCTCACAGGTCAGCCCCTTCCTCCATCACCTGGAAGGTGTTCAGTCTAAACTCCTGGAGGGAGGCCACCCAGGCTTGAGAAATAAATACACGGGGCCTCAGAGCCAAGACGGGGCTGAAGGGAAGAGCAGTGCCTGGGCCGCACACCCCACTCCTCGGTCCTTCATGGAAGGACATCTCATGGCAGGAGGGGGCAGTGGGGTGGCTCCACACAGCCTCCTGGAGTCCTGAGGTGGCCTCGGACCCTGCTGAGGTGCCTGACGGCCCTCCCTCCCGGGAGAAGAGCCCCCTCTGCTGGACCCCTCGGCCGTCCAGGCTGCACTGCCCTGCTCAGAACTTGCCCTGCTTCAGCCGGTCAATGTGGTAGCAGAGCTTGAGCGCAGGCCCCAGCTTCAGGCCCATGTACTTCATCATCGTGTCACTGCGCAGCAGGAGCAGGGCCTTGCCATCGATCTCCTGGGGGAAGGAGGGGGGCGCCATCAGAGGCCTGGGTGGTCTGTCCACCCAGGTTCTCACCAAAGACCCTCCGGGGAGGTGCCAGCCACACGGAGCCCTGTGAACCTGCTGTGACACTGAAGCCTGCCTGTTCTCCCCACCTCTGTCTCTAACCACCCCTCTCCAGCATCACCAGTGAACCCCCCAGGTTAAGCTCTTCATACATGTTTGTAGGAATCTCCTTTCTCTGCTGCCCGAGAGGCAGCCCTCCCTGCCCTTCCAAACCTCCGAGATCAAGCTCAATCCTAACTCTTCCCAGGAAGCCTCCCCAGTCAGTGTCCTTGTCACTCATCACAGACTATTTCTGTATTGACCCTCAAGGCCTATTTGGAAAGTCACCTTCCTTCCTGGGCAGCAGGGAGCCCTCCTCATGAGCCACACACAAAGCAAGCACTCAGTGAGCAGCTGTGAGACCTGCAGGCCTGATCAAAGAGCACTCTCCAGCCCACCTGGCATGAAGGAGTAGGTGACCCGTGAAAGCAGCAGAGCTGTTCTGAGTACCCAGAGTGCAGAACAGCACCAAGCGGCAGGCGCCACTGGGAACCAGGTTTGAGCCCCAAATCAGGAGTTCGGTCACTGCAGGGGGGTCCTTGGCAGTCCCTGGCCACAGGGGCAAATGGTCACTTGACAAGATGCTGGGGCTCACAGCAGACAAAATAAGAGGATGGGGTTCTGATGAGGCTGGAGAGCTGGGGGCCACACAACAAGGGACTCTTTAACCTGGCCTTGGCCTTAGACCACAGCAGGTAGAGAGCAAAGCAAGTGCTCCTAGAAGAGGAGAGTCCTGTCCTGGGATCCAGGAGGAGTGTGGCTGAATCAGATCCAACACTAAAGGAGTGTTCAGTGCCCAGTGAAGGCCGTCTGGGACCCAAGACTGTCTCTAAGTTTGTATAGGATCGCCTGTGCTCAGTTTCAAGGGACTTGGAACAAATATATCGCTTGTCCCCTTTAAGAGTCTATAAACTGCAGGAGCAAGACACCCGGCGGATATAGGAGAGGTCAGGCAGGGGCACCTACGTGTTTGCGAAAGAGGTCAGCATGGGGTCCAAACTGGGGATCAGCTTCCCGGACAAACTGCATCACATCCTCAACTGTCCACGAGGAGGGGTCCCGGCCACTCAGTCGAGAGGCGTCCCGGCGGTCTGGCCCTGCAGGAGAGAAGGACACCCGCTGTAACGGGCGGGGACTGGGCTGTGTGCCTGCGCTCTCCACAGCCTGTCCCAGGGGCCCTGTGTGACCACTGGGGCTTAGAGCCGTGCCAGAGCAGAGGAACCAGAGGTGACCGAGGGCAAGCAGGGTTTTTCCACAGAAGGACTGAGGACCTGAGACCCTTTCTCAATCAAATCTTAAGCATAGGGCTGATTCTGGAAATGGTCAGAAGGAATTTTACACTGAGGCTGTGACTGAGCCTGGACCTGTGTCAAGGGTAGTGATGAGGTGAGAGGATTATCTGGGTTGGGGTTGGGGGAGGGGCTGGTAGGTGAGGCTGCTTTTGCCTTGGCTCTGGGGACCATTTCTAGAGATACCTCGGGAGCTGGGTAAGATTAGAGCTAAGTCCTTGGGGCCCAGGGAGGAAAAAAGTGGCAGATAATTATAACTTGTGTCTCTTCCAAGGCCTGGAGAATAGTTGACTTCGTTATAGCCAAATACTTGGAGGCAGAAAACAGCTTTGCCTTGGCCACCAGGAATCTCAATGTTAATTTAGTGCTCTGCTTACAGCTTTTATTTCAGTCTTGGCCATTTCCCCAGTGGGATCTGAGCTCTCTGTACGGTCATCACCTGCAGGGCTCTCTGGCAGGCTTCATCCCCTCTGCCTGGAATGTGCCCCCTTCTTGCCCTTCAGTTTCTCCTTTCCTTCTGGCAGACTCTAACTTAACTAAACAAGAGCTGGCTTCAAGGATCAGCTCCTTTATGAAACTTTTCCAGGTCTCATCCTGAAAAAACTGGTCTCATAAAAGCATTTCACATATCTCTTGGTTACAGCTCAATCTCTACACACTTTCCCCCAACACATCATTCTAATAATCTCTTCTCCATAAAGCAGACAAAACAACTTTAAAAAAGTTATTGGATCATGTCAATCAATACAACAGCCTCAAAATGCATACCTGAAATAAGGCTGAACCCCTTACCATGGTCTAGAAGGTACCCTATCATCTGGCCCTTTCTGCCTCATCTCCCCCTTCCCCCTACCCTTTACTCATCAAGCTCCAGACACACTGGCTTTCTGCTTCCTGAATAAGCTATGCTTTTATGCTTTGATCCAGACACACAATTTCTGCCATCTAAAATGTTCTTTTCATTTGGGTTTCATCTCAAATACTGATTTCTCTGAGAGGCTTTCCCTGATATCCTAATAAAAGTACTCTATTCCCCACATAATCACTCTTTATCCAATTACTCTAGTTCACCCAAACCAGTCTAAAACAATCACGACCTAAAAACAATCTCATGCATTTATGTTTATCACCTGTCTTCTGTTCTCTGTTAATCCTTGTGATACTGTGATTAATAATAAGAAACATATGTATCTGTGTTCATTCTCTTTTCTGGCACAGCACTTAAAGTCCTGGGAATCTCCTAAGAGGTGAGTGTCATTTGCTATTCCAGGCCTCATCCAGGAGATGAGGCAGAAAGGCCCAGATGATGGGGTACCTTCTGGATCATGGTAAGAGGTCAGAGTGTTGTTTGCTACTCATAACAAGTCCCTGTCAATCACATCTGAATATGTTAATGAGGTACTTCTGGAAAGTCGTAAGGATGGGGGCTGGTTGTCAGGGGAACCAATCAGGTGACTAGAAGTTGGGACCTTTCAGTCCTGCCCCCTCCAATCTTTAAGGAAGGGAGAGGGGCTAGAGATTCAGTTCAATCACCAACGGCCAACAACTTAATCAATCTTGCTGACATAATGAAGCCTCCATAAAAACCCAAGGACAGGGCTTCAGGAGCATCTGGGCTGAAAGGAATCATGGAAGCCAGTCAGAGACACAGGTAACAACCTCCAACCTTTGAAGTTGGAGGGTGGTCAGTCTTGTGGGACTGAACCATCATATTGTGGGCTCTGATGCTTCCTCCAGGGAGTCAGTGTCAGAACAGGGTTACACTGCAGGACGCCCAGCTGGCATGGCAGACTTGCTTGGTGCGTGGAGACCCACACTTCTGGTGGGGGAAGCAAAGCAGTGCTGAGCAGAGCACTGAGCGTAGGAGACACACTGGAGGAGAGTGTTTTCCTTTCACGGCACACAAAAGTGCCTGCTCTGCCACAATGTTCAACTATGACTGCTAAATGAATGCATGACTGTATGTAATGGTTCCATGTATATTTTTCTGCCTCCCCCACAAGACTAGGTCTGTCTTGAGGCTGAGGCGACTTAAGTCTCAAGGCAGGGACTCTACTTCAGAGCTCCTTATGTGGCTCCATATGGGGCCTTGTTGGGGTTGGGGCTGGGAAGCAGTATCCTGGGCTTCTCTGTCTCAGCCTTCCCCAGAATCCCCTCTGCTCCTGCAGGCCTTGCTAATGGACTCTTCTTATTCTTCCACACCTAATCTGTCCCTGGGCTGGGGGAGGCCACAGTGGGTTTGGAGATGGCTTTCTCCTGTCTCCCCATTGCTGCTTTTAGATCATCCTCCAACGGAAGCTAGTGTTCTTCAGAGGCCAAACATGTACTGAGCATCTGCTCTTTCTGATCACATACATTTACAGATCTCTGGGTTTCTGCTCTGTGTTAAGTGAAGACTTTTGGGTATTTAACTCACTGACTTCCGGTTCCATCCTAATTGCTGCCATATTCCTTAGAGGAAATTCATCCAACTGCTTTGCTTCCAGTGATTTTCATTGCTATTCTACTTCAAATACCCACTACCAACATTACTGTCTAGTTCTTGGACCATTTGAACAAATCCACTTCAGAATTTTAAACACCCACCTCTCTGACCCCAGCCTCCCACCTTTCCAACTCTCTTGGGACATACGTCCACTATGACCATTATATTACAAAGACCTTTAGCACATCAGACTTACAGTCTCCCCATCCTTCAGCCATCTCTCAGCCCTGCTTCTATCCCTCCTGTCTGGAGACAGTGTTGAAGATCTAAACCACTCATGCTCCCCACCCTCTCTTGTCCTGCTAGCTCAACATATAACCTTAACTCTCAAACTGTCTTTTCTCACCCACATGTAGGTTTCTAAGAACCAAAGAAGAAAATTGTAGCCCTTGCAAACTGGTCTCCAAGTTCCAAACATTGCAGGACCTTTGGTGTTTCTGCAAACCATCCCCTCTTCCTTGACCTATTTCTCCTGTATTCTTTACGGCTCATTCAGTCTCCCAGCACTCCCGAGCCCCTGCCTGCTCAGCCCTCTCTCCATTCACTCATGGCCACAGGCTTTTTCCAGTTTCAGAAAGGTTTGCCTTCTTCTGTCATAAGACTGACCCTTAATCCTTCCCAATACCTCCACGGCCTTTATTTCTCCTCTTTCCTATATTCTGAAGTTCTTCTTCCTGGAAGGCTCAGGCTGTCTGCTGACAAACATGCCCAGCATGCACCCACTCTAGAAGACCTTCTTTGTCACCTCCTTTTCCTCATCAAACTCTTCTTGATATGTCTACCCACTGCAAACCTCCCTCACCAGCCTCCAGCACCACTGAAGCTGCTCTTACTTACTAAGATCACCAATTACCCTCTAATCACCATTTCCAGTAGATATTTCTCAGTCCTTCTTTTACTGAACCTTTTTGGGTTATACTCTTGAAACAGTACCCATGGCCACCACAACATCCAGCTCTTCTGCTCTCCCTCACATTTGACTACTCCTCTGTCCCCTGGCAGGATCCTCTTCTTGCTCCCTCCTCCTGAACTTTGTTGGTTCCTAGAACTCTTTCTTTGGTCAACTGTTCTTTTCATTCTACACAAACTTCTGGGAAGTGGGTGTCATTTTACTCTATAGCTTCAACTTCTATCCACTAACTCCTAAATATGTAACTTCAGTTCAGTCCTCTTCCCTGAGGATCTGACCTGCATGGCCACTGCCTGCTGGGTATCCCACCTTCCCCTTCTCTTCTATGGTTGGTTCGCTCTCTCAGAGAATGGCACCATCTATTTAATCACCCCTTCTAGAAACCTGGGCGACATTCCCACTCCTTCCTCCCAACTCTTAAATCTGACTATATTTACCTCATGAAGAGTTTTCACATCTATTCTCTCTTTGGAAACCTTCTACCACTGCCCTAATCTAGGCCTTTATCATTTTGGATGTAACCCATTCTAGTAACCTCCTAAGCAGTCTCTCTAGTCTTGTCTTTCTCAAATCCATCCTCAACACAGTAGTCAAAGACCTATTTGAAACACAAACCTGTTTAGGTCTTGCCTCTAGTGAAAGTCTCCAGAGCTTCCCATTAGTTACAAGATAAACCCCAAACTCTTTAACATGGCATTTAAGGTCCTCTATGGTATAACCACTGACCCTTCCAGGATTTTCTCTTTGAAGCCCCAGAATTACCCTTTGTTTTTCAGTAATACCAAACTGCATATACTTGCTGGTACAATCTGTGTTAGTTCTCATTCCTTTGCCCTTGTCCATGCTGCATGCTCTTCCCTGGAAAGCTCTTCCCCATCTACCACTACCCCTGATACATTCACACAGTCAACCTTTAAAACCTCAGACACTTTCTCAAGGAAGCTTACCCTGGATAACAAGCTTGAGTGAGGTGTTCCTTCTTTCAGTTTTCATACAACTCCTCTCTGCAGCCACACTCTAGATGTTATTTTACTATTATCTATTTAAGTGTTTGTGTCTCCTACAAGATTTTGAACTCCTTAAGGACAAGAAATGATTGATTTTTGTGTCCCCCTGACAAACACAGGTGGTGTTCACATAAATGGCTCATGAATGAATGAAGGGCTCCTTCCCCATCCCTTTGGCTCTGAGTTGTTGGCTTTTGGTTCCTGCTGTTCTCAAGCTAATCCCAGAGCTTCAGCTGCTCCCCAGGTGCCTGGTCAGGTATAATGGGGCCAGGCCCCAGTCTGACCTCTTTAGGTGGAGGGGGCAACAGAGTTAAGTACTTTCTGGCCTCCCAAGGTTCAGGCAGGAAAGAAAAGAATGAGAGAGGGCAGGAGAGCCAGAACTCTGAAAAGCTTACCCCTGGAGCAGAGCCTGCGCACAGCTGAGGCAGTGCCCAGTGGGAGACTGCAGGATGGAAGCAGAGGCCGGTACCCTGGATTTCGAAGGTTTTGGGAAGTGCTGACAAGATTGGTGGGATTCAAGGTAGAGTCCATTGAGTCTGAGCGTGGCTCCAAAGACCGGGCCAGACTATTTCCCAGGGCAAAGGTCTCACCTGGAAAACAGTAAAACCAGAGTTAGAACAGGGACTAGTCTGGAAAAACTGCCAGGGAGCTGGCTGCCAGGAGCCTATTTGGGTGGAGTAAGAGGCAGCAAAACAGAGGGCTCTGGGCTGCCGCAGGCCGCCTGTGCACCAGCCCTGGCTCTGGCTCTCACTAGGTGGCCTTAGTCAAGCCCAGCGCCACCCTCTGGACTTGGATCTCCTTAGAGACTCTTCCCTTTAGACTACATGGTCTCTGAGTTTTCTTCTGGTCTGGATGTGTTAGGCTGTTTCTGATAAAGAGAATCTTAAAAAAACAAACAAACAAACCAAGAAGAAAGCTATTCTGAGAAGAGTCTGTCCTAACACACAAGATGCTAGAGCAGGGGATAAAGTGCTGAAGAAGAGATACATCTGCTTACATGAGGGCATTTAGAAGTGGACCCTCTCAGCCAGCAGGACATCTCAGAAATGCTTCCTGATGCCTGGCTCAAGACTTGTCTGCAAAGGACCTGGTCTTATGTTCCTTCCCTTCTTTCACATTTGCCTTGTTTTATGGAAATAGTCCAAGGAAGCTGCGGTTGTACTCTAGTGAGAACATGGGCACAGAGCCCAGAATTTGGGTCAGAATTTGACTCTACTACTCAGCAGGTAAGGTGCTTTCCTCAGAACCTTAGTCTCCTCATCTATAACATGGGAGCCCCCTTTCTTCCAAAGCATTTGTGAACGTCAAAAGAGAATGGCTAAGAAGGCCTTTGTAAAGGGAACCTCACCCTGACATTTCTACACCCCGGCCACGGCCCAACCGCAGGCAGCAGCCCCTAATCACTGCTCTACGAAACCTGAAACAGACTCCCTCTCGGAGCTGGGTTCTGCCCATATCAAGTCAGATCTGGCCACGGCATTCTCTGTTTATGGGAGATGTCTTGGGTGCTGAACCGCATCACACTGTCCTTGGTGGCTTTTTTAAAAGACTGTATTAAGATAATGCTTGGAATTCATTTCGGGCCTCTGATGAACACTTAATTCAAAGAAATTGCCAGGCACAGACTATGACCTTTTTGGCGAGATGGTTTAGGATTTCAGGACTACTTTCTAATTCTCACCTAAAACTGCTTGGTAAACTATGGGATAACAGTCAAATCTGGCCCGAGACAGCTATTCATCCATATGAAATTTGGAAATTTAACTGATGAAGCCCTTTCCTAGAAATGGTCCTGAAGAGAGAAGTCTCTGAGCTTCCAGGATACCTAAACCATATCCTACCCCATTTCTGCAGGTGAGGTCTCAGATTCCTATTTTTCAGGAGAGATGCTTATAGCAATGTCCCACTTTGAGACAAGGACAGGAGTCCAATCCAAGAAATAGATGCCTGGGTTCCATCTCTCTGCTCCTGACTTTCACTATGTATGTGAGTCAAGGTAACTCGTTTGTCTTTTCTGAGTACTAGTTTCCTCATCTGTAAAGTGGGGAAAACTCACCCTCTGCTATGCTTAGAACATCAACTGAGAAAACAGAATGGGATGGATGTTACAACAGCAGGGAGTTGTATTTTATTCTTCATTCAGAGTTACAGTGGTACACCGAAGTTCTCTGTAGTAGCTCAAGAAAAAGATGAACTCTACTTTCTGTATTTATCGGCATGATAATAACCTCACCTTTCTAGTGCTCCTTTTACTCAGCTAAGTCCGGGTTAGTACCACCAACTTCACATGAGCTAACAGATGTGAAGAATAATTATGATGACAATGCTAGGGGCTCACCAAATGCTGAAGCAAAATCAGTTAAGTGTCTCTAGTCTTGGCAATGCTAAGAATGCGAACTAAAATCTGGATTCTGAGTCGAGGGGTCTGGAAATCTGGACTGGTGGCACCTGGACTAGGCAAGGTCATTAAATCTTAACCTAATGAGATGAAGAAAAGTGAAGCATCATGCCCAAGGCTCTGGGAGGGCCTAGTCTGCTTAATGCTGATCAAATGAGGCCCTGGCTGCCTTCAGCAGGGGCATGCCAGGGCAGAAGGCTGCAGTGCTTTCCAACTGTGCTCCACAGAGCCCTGCAGTACACCCAGCTCCTGGGTGGAGTCCGGGCCTCATCCCTGCTTCTATCAAAACAGCTTTGGTTTTGACTTTTTTAGACTAGAGTTTCATATAATCTTACCTTTGCAAAAAGAGATCGATTTATTCCCATGAAAGGGAAAGCATGCTTCTGAGCATTGAGTCCTTGAATCTCAGAAGCAGTTCTCAGGTGGCTCTAGAGATGCTTCAGTATTCATATCTAGCCCAGCAGACTAGTGTGGTCATCTGACTCACTGATGATATATTATTGCTCAAGTACCCTTTACGATCAGTTTTATCGTTGGACATTTTTGACTCATTACCAAAAGGCCTTCCTTTCTGAGCTGAGATCTGCCTTATTGTAACTCTGGCCCCCATTCTACTACCTGCCTTTCAAGAGAACCAATCTGCCTTTGGCCCCACTAAGAACCTGGAAGGGAGGAGGCACAGGATGGAAGGGACAGAGGAAACACAGAATTCCCCCAAACTGAGAGTGGGTCCCAGGAAACAGCAGCAGTATGAGGCCTAAGGTGAAAGAGGTCAGTGAGATATTTGCTGTAACATCTGATAAACACTAAAAAGTGCTTCCTTTCCTTTGTGGTAATCATCCTTCTTTCCACCCCCAAACCTCAGTATTAATCTGTTACACGGAACAGTCTTGTGTTAGTTTTTCCTCAGGGAAATGAAGGATGAGGCGCTGGCTCACATGGTGGAGGCAAACCATCAGCTCTAGAACCTGAGGGGGGCAGGGGGGTGGTGGTGGGGGATAATGGATTAAGCTCTGACTCAGAAGCAGAAATTCTGAGTGAGAAGAATGGACTGCTGTGAAGAAAATATAATCCCAGCCTGGATTATCTGGGATGGGGATGTTCATCCAATTGTATTTAGATTTTGGTATCAAAGGAAGGACAATCCCCAAATCTACGAGGCTTCACAGAATTCAAAAACCTCCAACTGGTTTCCTCGCCTACCTCTTGCTCCACTCCAGCCTATTCTCCCACACAGTAAGTATCCTGAGTGAGCTTTCAAAAACACAAATTGGATTATGTTCCTTCCATAACACAGTCATGGCTTTAAATACTCTCATGGGTCCTCACAGCTCAAAGATATAACCTCCGTAAGCTGGTCAATTAGACCTTTTCTGCCTGGGCCTTTGCTACCACTATAGCCTCACCACGCACATTCTTCTTTTCTACTTTGTATTTCAGCAGTACATTCAGAGGAACAGTCAATTCCTCTGAGACAAGTCAGGTTTCCTCTTGCCCCTCACAGTCTCATATCTCAGTCAACAAGAACATTATCATTCCCCTCCTCCATCTCTCTGGATCTGTGGCATCTTTACCTCATTATGCTACTCCAAGCTTATGTATCGCTGCTTCTGAAAAGTCTTCCCTGACACATCTGGTTTGAACTTCTGAACTCTGAACCTGTTCCGTTACAGCACTCATCACGGTGAACTAAGCCCTTAGACTATTTGTTTGTATTCTTTACCAGGCTATCGACTCTGTGGGGTGTAATGACCTTGACTCCTAGTTTACAACGGAACCCTCTATGCCAACATCGGAGCTTGGCATCGTGCAGTCAGTAAATACTGGGTTGACTGGTTGTCTGACCAAATAATTGAATCACTACAGTTTCAACTATTTATGAACATTTGAGTCATCTTAAAACTCTGACACTTCTACGAGGAAACCTTGTATGGGAATGAAAGGGCATCCGAAGAAATTTCACAGTTCTTACATGGCTTTTATTCTCTGAATTTGTGTGTGTGTGTGTGGCATAGGGGGTGGGGTTGGTTTGGCAGGAGAACCACTCTATAACCAACTTAGATGACCTGGATGGTAACTGGAAAGACAGGCACAAGGAACTTATTGTCCAGGGACAAACAAACCACTTCCTTCAGCAGAGAGGAACCAGCAGGCCCAGAGGTGAATGCTAGGTGGATTCAACTACAGTGAAGATTAACAGGCATGGGGACTGGCTAAGGTAATACGATTTCCTGTTTAATATCAGCAGTTACTGGAGACCCAGAAAGAACCCCCTCTCTCTCAACCTTCATAGGCCTCTTCCTCAATCCTGCCATGTCTGTAACTCTGAAGAAGGAGCTCTGATCTGACATCGCTGCCCTGAAGAATCCTTCCTGGACCACTACTTCAGCTGATTCCTTGCTCACCATTCCTGGCTGGGCCAGAGAACCTCAGGTTCCACACTCTCACTGCATACAGATTCTCTCTCAGCTGAGAACTCTTTTAGAGCAGGGATTGAGTCTGTTGTCTGTCTCCCTATAGTCAGTACAGGATCTAGGACACGTATGTATTTGACAAATGTTTGATTATCTGAACCAGAACAACTGGCCTGAATTCTTCGAAATGCCAATGTCAGATCATGAAAAGTAGACAAAAGGACTGGAAAACTGCTCTAGACAAAAGAAAACTAAAGAGACAGGATAAGTAAATGCAGTGGATCACTCTTCATGGGATCTTGGATAAGGGGGAAAAAAGTTACAAAGGATGTTACTAAGACAGTTGGGGAAATCTGTATATGGACTATATTATATATATATCAACTAGTAGATTTTATTAATGTTAAACTTCTCAAGGATGATAGTAGTGTTGTGTTCTTTGTTCCTAGGCAATACATATAAAAAAGTGTTTAAGGATCAAGTCTCTCATCTGCAGTTAACACTCAAATCGTTCAGTAAATAAACAAAAAATATATATAGAGGAATACATGCATATATACTTAGAGAAACAGATAAAGTAAATACTGCAAAAAGTTAGGTGGTAAGTCTAGGTGAAGAGTACATGGCTGCTCACTGTATTACTGTATAACTTTTCAGTAAATCTGAAATTTTTCAAAATAAAACACTGGAGGAAAAAACTAAGTCTCAATTTAGGTAAGGAAGCCTAATGGGATGTACATTTGGCGACTATTTGCTATATTGGAAATGAGTTGTCAGTTAATCCAAGACCTAATAGGGCTTCCCTGGTGGCTCAGAAGGTAAAGCATCTTCTGCCTGCAATACAGGAGGCCTGGGTTCAATCCCTGGATCGGGAAGATCCCCTAGAGAAGGAAATGGCAACCTACTCCAGTACTCTTGCCTGGAAAATTCCATGGACGGAGAAGCCTGGTAGGCTACAGTCCATGGTGTTGCAGAGTCAGACACGACTGAGCGACTTCATTTTCTTTCCATTCTTTCTTTCTAATGAGTAGGACAGTGTGGAGATAAGGCTGTTGGGAGGAGAGAGGATGCCAGTAAGTTCCTGGATAAGAGAGGTGGTACCTTCAGATGTGAAACTAGTAGAAGAGGGTAGCCAGGCAGAAGGGTGGAAGTTAATAAATACCAGCTTCAAAGAGCAGAACAGAAGAAAGCCCTTATGCAGATCAAGCTCTTCGGCAGAGGTTTGGATAACTAATCAGAAAAGTGTTAAGAAATGATTAATGATCGGGGTGGGGCAAAGGGTCAGTGAGGCAGAGAGGGTAGGTAGGCAGGCAGGCAGAAAAAGGTAAGTGAGGGAGCACAGAAGCATTAGAAAGTTGGGCAAAGCTCTGGTTTGTCTAGGCAGAGTTAAAACATTTCAGGGAGGCAAACAGACTAGGGTGAGAGTAGCCAAACTGATAAGCACCCACTACGAGAAACAGAGGTTAGAGAGCATAGGAAAGCAGAGAGCTGGCTGAATCTGTCTGAAAAAGAGAGAAGGGAAGAGAGGCAGCTGATGGGGAAGGAGATAACCCTGGTCTCTGTCTCTTCTTAGTTGGTGAGGCAAGAAGAAAGAGTGGCTAAAGCCTGCTTCCCCTTATCTGGTAGTTGAATCAGAGAGATGCAAACTGGAACAGAATTCCCGGGAAAGGTCATGCTCCAATCCCAAGCTTTCATCACAACCGCAGGTCCATGAAGTGTATCCCTACCAGCCTCTTCATGCTGCTACAAGTGCGTTTCTCTTGATTCTCAGTGGTGTTATTCCATTTAAGAATTCTGAATTTCTATTCCTTTGAGAACACTCTAGATTAGCAGCAACATTCATGGACATGCTACCCTCTCCCGTGTATCCATTCTTCCAGAATCTCAGGTAGGGCTAACTTTTATTATTGAAGTGCAGCTCAGAGTTCCCGAACGCCAACAGCAGGGGATATTTAACAACCTGCCTCATCTGCACCTGCTCCACCATGCCTAGCCCAGACTCCCAGTACAATACCTTAACTGCAAGTAAGAATGCTCTTTTCTGTACAGAGAGTCTGAGGTTAAAAGAAAGCAATCTAGAGTAGGTTAGATGAGAAGTTCTTTCTGAAGGGTCAGTGAGAGGGTCACAGGTATGTCTGCAGGGACCAGGTGGTGGAGCCTCTAGAAGGAGCATTTGAAATTCAGGTATCTTTTTGCCGGGCATGCAAGTCACATAAGTAATTCTTGTTTGGGTGCAGAGGAGGTGGAGTGGGGGGAGGGTGGTGGTGCTGGGTGAGCAGTCACTTTCCCAGCACATTCTCCAATAGTGGCACTTTTATCAGAAGTGATTCTGACAATGATGAAAAGACAACAGGGAAGGCAGTGTGGGAACACAACTCGTGCGGGTGAGAAGGGAGCACCTTTGGGAGTTACACTCCCCCATGAACAGGCAGCACGGCCCTAGCGCTGATAGCACTGCCTCTATTCCTCTGGCCAGGACAAGGTCCACGGGACTCTTTTCAAGGGCCTTTCCTCCCTCTCTCCACAGTGACCTACCTCGCTAGTTTAAGGCCGAGCTTTCCTTCCCTCCCTGTCGTGCTGTGTCCTGTGCTCCAGATTAGAGATGCCGGGTTCCATTCACTCAAACCTCTTTTGGGAAGTGCTTAGTCACTGATCCGGCCACGTGGCATCCGCTTCCCCGTTGTGGGTCTGGTATGTTAACTAAGAAAGTTATTTTCCAGTCTAGTTAGAAACAGCAGGAACTTGAATCGACTTGCTAGACTGGCGCTGCTGGAGGAGTTAGGGCCACGTGCCAAAGGAAAGAGTAGATGGCCAATCACCAGGCAGCAAATTCTCAATCTGAAGCCTGAGACTAAACCCTCCCGCTGGCAAGGGAGTTCTGTGTTAGGACTTTGCTGCCAGATCACTCTGGGAGATGTCCTGTGACTTCACACTGGCTCCGCATGCACTTTGGAGCTTAGGAAAGCTGTGAACCACCGTTCCTTTAGGGATAAAAATCCAAAGGAAAGTCCTAGAGATAGGAAACAGAATCCTAAAGAGACAGTAAAGATGAGAGGCAACCAAAAAGTGCCAGATGAGGCAAAGGTAAGGGACAGAAAACCAAATCTCAGGGTAGCAGGTGCTGGGATATCAGGTCTGAGGGCTGGCCCTGGGCCCTCGCTGCAGCTACCAGCCCTGCCCCCCCTTCTTCACCCAGACCCCAACCCAGCTCCTACCTGGTAGGTACCTGTCGTGGCTGTGGCTGTACTCTGTGGTGGTAAGTGACAAGTGAGTCTGTGTAAACGGCTGGTTGCCAAACAGATTGTCACTGCGAAGGTTGTGGCAGAGCTTCTCCAGGAAGCGGAGGACGTAGGTGATGCTGTTGACTGCTGGGAGGTTGAGCGTGTGCTGCTCCCGGTCAAACACGGCTGTAGAGTTAAGTAAACAGGGCCCAGCACGTCAGCTCGTAGCACAGCGCAGAGCTAAACAGGAGGAGGCCGGCCCACTGCTTGCCTCAGGCTTACCTGGTTACACAGAGGTGAATGGTGCCCAGGTTTCCTTCCTCCCCTCCTCTCCCTCCCCTGAGGGTTTGATTTTTGCCTCCAACTCCAAAGGGTTTGCAATAATGGGAGTGGCCAGGCCAGATCTCTTGCACGTGGGGCTTTGGAATAATTCTACTCAGCCTGTGAAACAACTGTGAACATAATTCTATCTGCTCCATCAGTTGGCTAGGCCTCCCAAGGAAATCTGTTCATTTCCTTAAGAACTGCTTAAGAACAGAGAAGCTGGGCGGCAGAGGAGAACACAGCTATTGCCAGCAATGGCTGAGGTGTACAATCTCATCTGGATAAGGGCAACTCGAATTTCGGCAACATTCATTTCTTTTTGTTTTTAAACCCCTTATTTATTTCTATTTAAAACTTATGCATATAATCCCTGGGCTTCCCTTGTGGCTCAGATTGTAAAGAATCTGCCTGCAGTGCAGGAGATTAGTGTTTGATCCCTGGATCCTGAAGATTCTGGAGAAGGGAATCCGTAACAAGCAAAAGGCTTCTGCATCCGTCTCTGAGGGCAGCAAGGAAATGTGGAGATAGGTCACTCTCAGGAATCAATCTAGGGGACAGAGAAAGAACCCTAGAGAAGGTGTGGGTGACAGTCACTAAGGGAAGGTGGTAAAGATGGCTGGGCCCCTGCAGACTGCAGCATGGAAGCAAAGGAGAGGCAGGCAGAGGCCTTAGCCTCACAAGGAAAGAAAGGCTTGATTTCCCATGCAGTTTTCAGCCATTTCTAGCGATTCTTTCTCTGCCTGTCCCCATCCTCTGAGCAGTCAATTAATTACTCTGTGTCCAGGCTCCCACACCACCCTGCATGCATTTCTCACATATTATAACACCTCCCACGGTTAGCTGTGAGCTAGTCCTTCTTTTCCATCAGGGCACAGCCTGAGCATGTCATCGTCTTTTCTTCCCTTCCCCTGGCCAGTGTCTGCAATAACCTCTCACATGGAGTCAGGGCTCAATGAATGTCTGCTGAAAGAACCCATTTGTGGTATTTATGGGGTCTTCCATGTCAGCTGGTTTTCCTGAGGCTGGATATTGACTAGTTAGAGGGCAGGGGAAGGAGATTATTGAGTAGTGCATAATTAAGATTAAAAGGCTCCAGGTCAAGTCTTCATAGGTTTGGTGGGTAAAGGTGCGGTTTTTGGACTCAGGAAAACTGAAACAGAACCAAGACACAGCAGAAGTGACTGTTCTCAGTGAAAACAAACAACCAAAGCAAAAAAACCACACATTGTGCAACTGACTCAAACTCCCATAGCAGGAAAGAGAGGACTGATTCTTCCCACTCTGCCCCAGGATTCAACTCCCCTGTATCGGGGCTGGCTGAGGACTGGGCAGCTAAGGGGTCAAAAAAACGAGAGAAGACTTCTGTGGTTCCCTGAAGCCAGCTGGGAGGCTGGGGCAGTCTGGAGAAACTCTCCTGTTGCCCGAATACAGCCCCCTCTGGATTTTTTCTTCTGAAGCATTTTTAAAGCAACATACTTGCATATTTTCTGTATGAGAGGCTTGGTAGGTAGACAGGAGGGAGTCTCTTTAGAAACTGGGGTTAAGCAGATTCTGCATGGGTATTCTACTTGACAGCGATATGCAGAAGACCCCGAGAACTCTGGGAGTTGAAATGAGGACCCTGAGGAATGGAATAAGTTTCATTCCAGAGCCTACTGGTGTGAAGTAAAAACCAGGAGGCCTTGCTAGAAGTCAACTAGTTGCAAAGGCCTGCCTCTCTGGCTAGAAGCCATACCAGACCAGAGTGCTTACCTGAGATAACTGCACCACCGTGGCCCTGCTTGAGGAAGCTGAAGACGGTTTTCTGGTGATAAGCACAGTCGATGCAAGCCTGCACAGCCTGCTGCAACACCACGGAGGCTCGGGCAGGCCCAAAGTGGTCAGGGAGCTGCTGGACCTTCTTCTTATCTAAGTGGGGGCCTGTGCTGCCATTCTTGTTCAAGTAAATACAAACTGCAGGAGACAGAGAATCAAAGCAGTTTAAAGAGTTTCAGGGTAGAGAAGTCGGAGAACAGAGCTCTCTTCGTCTTTCCTACCCTGGGCTCTGGCCTCTACAGGACTCCCAGCTGCTGAGCTGGTGAAACACTGTGGGAGGGGGTAGAGGGTGACTATGCCCAGCTGCTGCCAGCCCAAATGCATGACCACAGGCTCTGGGAACGCAGCCTGCTGGGAGAACAGCCCAGACCAGCCAAGGCACAGAACTTGCACTTTGTCTTCTTTACACTGAAAAGAAAATCCAAGCAATTTTCCAGATGGATGTACTTTCATTTTCAGTTCTTGGCTGCTTTACATATTCTTGGTATCTCTCACAAGCTCTGTGTACCAAGTTGTGGGGCTATGGCAACATTAGCACGAGTGTGCTTGTGTGTGCCTGGCCTTGGACCTAGAGCGGTTAAACCACCAGTTACTTCCCTTGCTTTCCATTCTAGGCCTTAGAGTCCCTTTGTTATCTTCTACATCAAGAATTAGGCTCAAAGATAGTAGTGAAAATAGAAAAAAACTGGAATAAAGAAAAACATGCAAAGGGCCTGAGGGGCCCATCTGTATATTTGTTTCAGTTGTTTCTCCTGTCAAGATAGCTGGGCACCCTCCCCACTGCAACCCCCCACCTGGCACTGTGCTTCGAGGGGAGAAGCAGGGTGAGCACGGAAGAAAAAGACAGAGCTCCCCAGAGCTGCTTCTTTTGGTCTGCCAAGAAGACTCATGTGCCTGATCAGCTACAGCATTCTTTCTGCTGATCTGACTTCTAGGCTTTCACTTGAGTAGGGGGTACTCTGCTTCTTCACACTGTCCTGGCTCACTAACTGAATGGCAGGAGGGGAAAAAGTCTCTTTTGTTGTTAAAGGCAAAAAGATAAAAGTAGTAGCTGTGTGGGCTATGGATGGACTGGTGTCCTCTCTGGGCCTCAGGTCTGCCACCCACATCAAAGAGGGGCTGAGCTAGACACTTTCTGAGGACTCTTTGACCTTCATCATTCTAATTCTAAGGGGAAGCAAGATGGAGAGAAGAAAATGGAGAGAAGCAGGATGTGGAAAGTGATAGATGAAAAAGAAAGACAGGAAAAAAAAAAGAAAAGGGTAAACAAGAGGAATTGAAAAATACATTTAACTCTTTTATCTCTTAAAACCACAAAAATGAGCCAGATAACAAGAAAGGAGACAACTTAAAACTCTGGAAGCTGGGAAGCAGAGTGGCAAAGTAGTAACTGGCTCAGCAGACCTAAGAAAGCTGAATCTTTAACCAAGAGTGGGGAATGATGAGAGCCAAGCTGTTCCATCCTGTAAGTGACAAAAGGACCAAGAATGAGCAGGGGCTCCTGCAGGTGGGTATGACAGAAGATTTAATAGAAGAATTGGCTCACGTCTGTTAAGAAATGGTTAGTATTTCCATGTCATAATATGACTCTTTCACTGAACACAAGACAGATAAAAATGAAGGAACTCAAAGAGATATAGAGTAATAAAAATAAGTGAAATGTATGTCTGTGGAAAGATACTTATTAGAATGTTCAAAGCCGGTTTGTCATAATAGCCTCAAACTACAACCAACCCAAATGTCCATCAACAAGAGAACAGATATACAAATTGTGTATGAATATTTATTTGTTGGAATACACTTGGCAGTAAAAAAAAAAAAAGAACTATTGATAGAATGCTTCTCAAAAACATTATTCTGAGTAAAAGAAATAATACAAAATAGTACACACAGTCTGATTCCATTTATATATTAAGTTCAGTTCAGTTTAGTCACTCAGTCGAGTCCAACTCTTGGTGACCCCATGAATCGCAGTACACCAGGCTTCCTTGTCCATCACCAACTCCCAGAGTTTACCCAAACCCAGGTCTGTTGAGTTGGTGATGCCCTAACCATCTCATCCTCTGCTGTCCCCTTCTCCTCCTGCCTTCAAACTTCCCCAGCATCAGGGTCTTTTCCAATGAGTCAGCTCTTCGCATCAGGTGGCCGAAGTACTGGAGTTTCACCTTCAGCATCAGTCCTTCCAATGAACACCCAGAACTGATTTTCTTTAGGATGGACTGGTTGGATCTCCTTGCAGTCCAAGGGACTCTCAAGAGTCTTCTACAATACCACAGTTCAAAAGCATCAATTTTTTGGCACTCAGCTTTCTTTATAGTCCAACTCTCAAATCCATACATGACTACTGGAAAAACCATAGCCTTGACTAGATGGACCTTTGTTGACAAAGTAATGTCTCTGGCTTTTTAATATGCTGTCTAGGTTGGTCATAACTTTCCTTTCAAGGAGTAAGAGTCTTTTAATTTGATGGCTGCAATCCCCATCTGCAGTGATTTTGGAGTCCCAAAAAATAAAGTCAGCCACTATTTCCCCATCTATTTGCCATGAAGTGATGGGACCAGATGCCATGATCTTAGTTTTCTGAATGCTGAGCTTTAAGCCAACTTTTTCACTTTCATCAAGAGGTTCTTTAGTTCTTCTTCACTTTCTGCCATAAGGGTGGTGTCATCTGCATGTTAAGTTCAGAAACAAGAAAGTCTAGTCTATAGTGACAGAAATTGGAATAAAGGTGAGAGTGAAGACTGACTTTAAGGAGGCATGAGGTAACTTCCAGGGGGTGGTAGAAATGACTCTTAGCTTGATTGGGGCTGTGGCTACATGGGTACTTACGTTAATTAAAGCTCAAATTATATATAAAGATATGTAGATTTCACTGTATGTAAATTTTACTGGCAGTTTCTACTTCTTCTTGGGACATTCACTCTTGGAACCTAACTACCACATGTGAGCAGGCAAAGACTGTGGTGGAAGTGGATCCTCCAGTCCTGGTCAAGCCACCACAGCTGATACTGCAGGGAAGAGAGACCAGCTGCTGCCTCCCAGCACTGCCCACATTGTTGTTGTAAGCCGTGAAGTTTTGTAGTGTTTGTTATGTCGCAGGAGACTGCTGGAGCAGACTGTGGTACCAGAAACAGGGCGCTGCAGTAACAAAAGCCCAACACACACAACACTGGCTTTGGGACTGGGAAGCACAAAGAAGCATAAAAGATCACAGAAAGATTATGAGTGAAGTTGAGAGGGCCTTGTGTAGAAGCCTGTAAAAGGTTGGGGTCCAAACAATTCTGTTCATTTTGTATCATCTCTGGCCCTCTTAGCCTGAGATGGTAATACTTCCACCAGAATGAAACTTGGGTGGTTTTCTATGAATACTACTGCGATTTACTTCTTTAGTCAAAAGCCATAGTCACAAATCTTTTGAAGACAAGCCTTTCTCTACTTTGGGCTTCCTCATAGCTGCTGTTAGACAATGCCCTGAAGATTTTTAAAAATTCAATTGTTTAAGGAAGAGAATCTGTGAGACTTGCTCTTGAGATTTTCAGAGGGCCTTTTGGTCTCAAACAGTCTGTGAAACAGAGTCTTAAGTCATTCTGACATCGTAACCAAAGATTTTTATTGTCCCATTCTGGTTGTGACCCTTTCTTAACTCAGGATTATTTGCTTCTGGAGTGACTGGAAATGAGAAACATTTCCATATTGTGAGTCCTGGACTTTAAAATTTTTAATTTTTTTTTAAGCTCATCTCTCTCATCTTACATTTTATCACAGGCAGTGAGAAGTCAGGTGGTACTTCATTACTTTGTCTGGAAATCTAGTATTTCGCTGAGTTCATCAGGAACATTTTTTAGTTCCATGTTTGTGCAGGTGACAGTGTTATCACACTTTCCATCACTACCTAGCAGGTATCCCCCATCCTCTATCTTTCAATGAGACTTTCCTCTTTCCTTTAAGCCCACATTGACAGCCTCTTTGAGATCTTTTTGGTTTCAATTCTCAAGTTTCTAAGAGAATCATTCTGGCAGTAGTATTGCCAGCTTGGACTGAGATGGTACAAAACAAAAGAATTCTTTGGATCCACAACCTTTTACAATCAGGAAGAAGACTGAGAAGGCAATTTCAGCTTTCCTATGGAAAAGGAAGGATGACTCAGGACAAAACCAAAAAGCCATGGAAACAACTTTCAGAAAGTATTGGATCTAATCAAGGAATTGGCAACATATGCCCACCTGGATTTTAGAATTTCTACATACCAGTGACTGCGTGTGCCTCCAGTTTTTTTGCCCTTTTAACAAGTGTATCTGTAAGTTATTATGCCTATCCCACCACTGTATGCAGGTTATGTGGGGAGCAGATAACACATTTCTTTAGGTCACAGGTCTTCAGTTTGAGAAGAAACTGTACCTGAGAGGTCCCATGTGCCTGGATCTGATTTAGATGGTGAGATCCTAGATCTGAAGTTTGATGCTGTAAAGGGATGAGACCTTTAATGGGGAATCTTGCAAGGAGAAGAATACATTTTCCAAGTGGGAAAAATAACTTACATCCAGAGAGTGGACTGAGGTGGTTTTAAAATATGGTCCAAAATTCTTTGACTCTCCTTCCATCAAGATAAGGGGTCTATTCCCATTCTCTTGAATCTGGGCTTTGACTGCTTGATTGACAGAACATGGTAGAAACGACATGCAGTACTTTTCGGGCTCAAGCCTTAAGAAAATGATAGCCTCCGTTTCCTGTCTCCTGGGGACACTTGCTCTTCGAACTCAGTCACCCTGGAAGGGGAAGCCCACGCCACCTGCTGGAGACCTCTGTGGAGAGGGGAATCCACAGCCAGCGCCAATTCTGTTAGCTGCATGAGTGAATCATCTTGGAAATGGATCCTGCTGAGCCACCTAAACTCATAGCAAATGGAAGAGAGACAAGTTTTCTCTGCTGTAATTTTAATATGGCTGAATATACTGATATCTTCTCTAGCTATAGAAAGGTTCTGTGCTTTTTCTCTCTTTTTTAAAAAAATATGTATGCATTTGGATGTGCTGGGTCTTAGCTGCATTACTGAAGATATGTCCTTGGGGTACAGAGACTCTCCAGTTGGCACATGGGCTCCGGAGTATGCAGGCTCAGTAGTTGCAGTGCCAGGCTTA